GAAAATAAAAAAAGATATCACATTTTGACAACGCCATAGATATTCAAGGAAGAATCGGATAATTTGCATAAATTGGCATTTGAGAATTTTCTCAGTTCAACTCATGGACGTTTGGTACCGCGTTGTACCAAGTGACTGTTTAGCTGTAAAGGGCCGACCCATTCCATTCACTTCAAGCCCGGAAATATAAAAGGCAATCAGAAATTCGCACAGTTTATTGTATATTTCTTAAATAACAAAAAAAATTACACTGCAAATTAATAGTAGACCTTCTTAAAAATTGAAACTTTTCAGTCAGTTCTTCACTCCAACTGCAGTACTTCAATATCCGTATATTTTTGTTCATTTATAATTGTAAAATTAGCTACTTTAATAATGGATTTTTTGTTTGTCGAATTTTCGGTCCTGGCATAACACTCAATCAGCTGATGGAAGCAGCAAGCAGTCAACATTGTCCTGAGTAAAGTCACCAAAAGCATTCAAATGGCTGGTGGGACCACAGGTCTTTTCGAGATCGCAGCTCTGGAGCCAGGGCAGCCATAACCCTGCTTCACGAGTACCATATCATCCGGTCGTAAAAAACTCAGTCATTCTTATTTTTGTTTTTAGGGCGTTGTAAGCGCTTGGTGGCAAATGTCTATGACGCTACTGTCCTAATGGCAGCCGTAAATAAAAGGCTGAAAATACCCGGTTATCATTTCAGACAGCTTCGTTCAAATGGCTGCTTAAATCAGCTGGAAAAACAAAATAACTCAGTTTCCTTTCTTGCATCAACTTGAAGCGACATGTTTATCATTAATTACCCCAGTTACGTATATAGTTTACGGACCTTACAGCTTTAAATAAAGAAAACTGAAAAGATTAACATAACATATGGGTTAAAGACTGCTAGTTTCACCAGTTTCTCACCATATTTTTGAGGATTGTTACTTTACTTCTTGGTTGACAACGGCCACAGTTTGTAGAGAGAACGAAGGAGCGGTGAATGGCACTCGTGAAATATATAATCAAGGCTTGGCTGATTGCCGACAAGAGACTGGTGTAGCATTCATGAACATTCGGTCAGTATTAATTTTAACTGGTTTTCTGATTGGTCAGTAAGTTTCGTTATCGCATTACAATAAGGCATGCATTCTTGAGTTTCACTAGCAAAGATGACTCAGGCCCTGTCCACATGTATCCGTATTCGTTTGAAAAAGCAACTTTTTTTCTCCTTCTTCAAAAAAATTCGCGTCCACTCGTAGCGTTTTCGCATCGTTTTCGCCCGTCCACACGTACAAGCGAATTCTGCTGACAATTGTTTATATTTTTCCTCATTAGCATACGATTTAACTCATAGAACCCGTGGCCGTAAATATGAACTAAATGTAAAGGCTGAGGGAGCTGATTAAGTTGAGCAATTTGTGTAATTTTTAACTCTTACTTTGCAAGCAATATTGAAGAAAATATCAGCCATAAAATACTGCGAAATTGCTGTGTGGCAAAAAAGTTAATGAGCCATACATTCTCTGTAAAAATCAGTTTGGAGTTTTTAGAAGAGCATTTCCCCGAAACCGGTGTATTGGGCCCAAATTTTCAGCGATAACTGAAACTGTTATGCTCTTTCAATATTCAGAGTTTTTTTAAAAAAATTTATTAGCGTCATCACATAGACAGAATTATATATTAATGAGGCAAAAAGTGTAAACAAAAATTCGCCTATACGATAAATCGATTTGAAAACGATAACTTACCCGACTGCGCATGCTTGACGCATACGTGTTCGCTATTATGAGCCCGCGAAATAATAAATTGGCGCCACCTTTGAATTTCTTTGGTGTGGGTTTATATTGTTGTGACGTTCTTCAAAGTCGCAGGAACAGTTAAGAATGTCAAATTCCGGGCAAAAACACAGACAAACACTGCAGGGAGATCCAAGCTTCCGCCTCTTGACACCGGTAGCGAAACACTGAACCTGATAATGCTCTGTAACCTCCTGCAATAATCAGCTTGAAGAATCACAAAGCTAAATTTGTTTGAAAACAAGCAATTAGGTTAGAAATAAGCCCAAGGATAAAAGACAAGAAAGTGAAGCGCCCGTCCGCCATTTTTTGGAACTGATGGTGTGCCTTCAGCGTTTTCGAAAAGTTCCGTTTTCTCCTGTCCACACGTACACGCGAAAACAGCGTTTTCAAAACGTTCCACTCAGGTGAGCGTTTTCGAAAAGTTCGGGGTTTTCATTAATGGTTTTCATCGGATTCGTGTGGACGGAAGCCGTGTCCGTAAAGAAAAAGTTGGTCAGGTGTTGGTCGTGTGGTCAGGGCCTTAAACCTTGGCACGAATTCTGATATTCCCATATATATATACACAAATAGGCCGCGGATGAATGAACAGATTCACCTGTTTCGTGTGAACAGAAGGCCGCCGGGGAGATTCTTGTAAAATATAATGATGTTTCAGAACTATCATATCCGTACTTGGACAGGGCCGATAACCAGATCGGTCAGTTCGTGGAATTGTGAAAATAAAATTAAAAGTAGCCCTGTCACTCTCCCGACGATTCTGAAAAAATTTATCCACCGATTTCCTATTACATAGGACACACCCCTGGGGATTTGCTATTTAGTTTTTCTCTCTTGGATGTCTGATCCCCATCCGGCCGGGCACGCAGACTAAATGAGACAATTCCCCACCCCCGAGCTCCTGATCGACCTCATATATGTTTTTTGGTACTTTTTTTAGGATCCGTACAAAAGTAAAGCGAGACGTTTTCACAACTTTTAGAAACGTTTTCCTGAGTTTATTGAGAGAAGGATAATGGATGTCATAATGTAGCTAACACATGAACAATAAATTTGAACACGAAAAGAAAAACTCTTAAAAAAGCTCCTCCTTGATAAAACACTTCAGAACAATGAACCGAATCTCTGTTTCTCGTATCAAAAGCCTTGTATTTGTTTTCATATAAGTTTTCTTTATCATTATTTAAAGCTAGGCTGAAGAAATATTTCTATATCCTTCTTTTTTCCAGAAAATATAATCCATTCGAGTACGCATTATACGCATGTTGGTATCAAATTTTAAAACATGCCGTTATATATACATACTTTAATTTTATTCCTCTCCAACCACTCTTCGACAAATTCCTGCGTTTTTCCTTAAAAATACGTAGTCTTGAGGCCAGTAGCCATCGTTTAAACCGCGCGAGAAATGACACATACTTCGCAAAATCAAAGAGAAGATATTTTTTATTTGTTCCAACCCCCTACCCCCGGGACAGGATCCCCCACTCCTGGGCCCGAAGGGCTGGACTTGTCCCGGGGGTTGCCCGGAGGGGGATGGCAACAAGTAAAATTGAATGAACCATGCATGAACCGGCAGTGTTCGTATGAATCAACGGAAGGCTATTGAATGAAGAAAGAAACGAAAAAATATGTATATATAAAAATAAAAGAAAGAAAATAAAAAAAGATATCACATTTTGACAACGCCATAGATATTCAAGGAAGAATCGGATAATTTGCATAAATTGGCATTTGAGAATTTTCTCAGTTCAACTCATGGACGTTTGGTACCGCGTTGTACCAAGTGACTGTTTAGCTGTAAAGGGCCGACCCATTCCATTCACTTCAAGCCCGGAAATATAAAAGGCAATCAGAAATTCGCACAGTTTATTGTATATTTCTTAAATAACAAAAAAAATTACACTGCAAATTAATAGTAGACCTTCTTAAAAATTGAAACTTTTCAGTCAGTTCTTCACTCCAACTGCAGTACTTCAATATCCGTATATTTTTGTTCATTTATAATTGTAAAATTAGCTACTTTAATAATGGATTTTTTGTTTGTCGAATTTTCGGTCCTGGCATAACACTCAATCAGCTGATGGAAGCAGCAAGCAGTCAACATTGTCCTGAGTAAAGTCACCAAAAGCATTCAAATGGCTGGTGGGACCACAGGTCGTGGAGACCGCTTAAAATTTCAGTACTACTTGATCTGAATCATCTTCACAAACTCTGCAAAAGAGGGTAGTACTATTGTGGTAACAAAGTGATCATAATGATAAACGGAACCTGATTATCAGGAACAATAATTTACGAAGTCTTAATTTTTCTTCTCTGGAATCCTTTAAAACTGAAATAACCTAGTTTCTTTACAAATGAAAGGGTCTACATCTTGAAAAGAGACTTGTTTTATCTATTGCATAGATTAGCAAAGTTCGGATATTTAAAAGTCAGATCATCATAAAAGTTTCCTCTTGTGTGGCTGTGGAGACTATATACAATTAAAGATGAAGTGCAGTTCATTCTCATCATTTTAGATGAATAGTGTTGACATACTGTCCAGCGTTTTCGGGAATTAATATTTGGGACACAGTGTCTACCGACTTCAATTCTTAAATCATGGTGTCCATGAATCGAATCGTGATTGCAAACTCCATTCTCATTTTATACATTGTAAATAAGAAAGATCTGTTTTAGCTTGAAAAATTGGGCCGCAGGGCCAATACAGTTCCAGTTACCTAGGACTGATTTAGACCGGCCAAGGGCTGAAATGGGTCCCAGCGTGGGCTGGAATCCAGGGAGGGAATCGCCCTTTGATGGCCGGGGCTGTTTTGGCTTTAATTGTTCTCAAAGGGCTCCAGGAGGAGCTAAATCAGGCTGTGGCCTGAAGAGCTGAATTGGCACTTTGGGGCTGAAATAGATCTTTTTAATTTTCAGTGTACGTAGTCGCTTATAGGGGTAAGTTTTTCCGGAGGGATATCATTATTGAACATTGATTACAACTGAGTAGAAATCCAACAAAAATGTCAGTCTGTATTACTGAAAAATCAATTCAAAATAATAGTGTTGTCTGACGACTGAAATTTCATCATTACTGGACCAAAAATCTCTCAAATGTTTGCATCATCTATCATATTTTTGGCGTATATTGAACAAAAACAGACCCAGGAAATTCACGTGGCACTACAACCCTGGATTAAAAAAAAACCTCTGGCAGCTTAATCAAATCCCTAAAAGCTAGAACACACCTTCATAACTGACTTTCCCATCGTCATCCATGTCTGCTTCTTTTATCATATCATCAATTTCTTTTGTGGTGTAGGTCTTGCCTCCAAAGGTCTTCATTACGGTCTTCAATTCATCTCCAGTGATGTAACCATCCCCGTTGGTTTCTTTTGTCTTTTAGAACCAGACAATGTTTATGTTAACGCAAATACATAAGTCTTTTGTCAAGTAAGTTTTGCATCGTAAAATCGGAAAATTTCTGGGTGGAAATCTTTTAATTTCGAGTGCCTGGCATGTATGATGGTCGAATCTAATGACAATTAAGGGTCCACAGGAGCCCATAACCCCTGGGGTCCGTTTAAAGCGTCCGCTTAATAAAGGTTTCGCCCCAAGTAAGGGAATCTAGAGTCTGGAATCAGGGAAATTTTTCTCGTGGAATCCGGAATACTGGGCTTTGGAATCCGGACTTCTGAATGAGACAATTCAAGGTATCTGGATCCCACTAACGACTGGAATCCAAAATCCAACCTCTGATAATCCTTTACTTGAGATCCGGAATCCGTGGCGTACGTAGAATCCAGAATCCAAGACTGCCTTGGATTCAGCTTATGGGGCGAAAGGCTTTATTTCGGCAGTACCTAAGGGAAATAAATTTGGGGACTTTGACCACTGTCCGCTTAATGCAGGGTGTCTGCTTACACAGTGTCGGCTTAATACAGGTTTCACGTTGTGCAGAGAAAAACTGAGCAGGCCATATAAGGCAAGTAGAAGAGAACGCCTGTTTAGGAGGATACCTTACCATTACGATCCACAGCTTTTATCATTTCTTGTAGGTCTTCTTCGCAAACTTCTTGCCCGGCTTGTTTCATTGCTTCACCGAGTTCCTCTACCGAAATTTGACCATCGCCGTTTTTGTCGAACAATTTAAAAGCTTCTGCTATTTCTAGAATTAGAAGAGCAAAGAAAGTTTAAAGAGTTTTTAGGTCTAGCTTGCGAACAAGCTCTCCAATTATGGCGAGAGCGATGAGAAGCAAGCCGCGAGGAGAACGCGAGAGCGAGCGCATCTTCTCACGATTCCCACCAAATGAAGAGCTGGCTCCTCTCGCAGGTGAAGTTCATTTCTGGGTCAGATAGAGGTCAATAAATTTCTTCAGGTATAAATCCAGTCTTCTGAGCCGAGGTTATTGTGGCTAGTAACTTTATTGTCCGTTATTTTCAACACTATGTCAATATACACAACCACCCATTTATACTCAGGGTAAAGAGAGACAAAGTGGAGAAAACTTTCTTGTTGAAAGAAAGAACATGACGGAAGGGCTTCTAGCAAGAGATCGCTCCTCGGACATACATACAGTGGCAACCACTCCAGTAAAAACCGCTGACTAATAGACCTGCATTTTACAAAGCCCGAGTCTAGGAAGATTTCCTGTCAAGAGCTCGGTCCTGGTTGATCATCACGGTTTACACAGAAAGAAAAATGTATTGATTTGTATGTTCATGGTTTTATTGGTGACTTACCTTTGCGCTTTTCGGCCGTTAATTTTCCGCGTTGAGCCTGGTAACGGAAACCGTAAATATAGCGTGAGTTGAAGTTGTAATTTCTGATTTTTGTGGGGCATTTAAGGATCGGTTTTCTTTTTTGCAAGAGCGTTTACATGGGTGAAAACAAAATTGATCAAAAGAACAAATTTTTGTGTTCTCTTGAATTGGAGCAGTAGATTTATTGCTAGTTTTCACGTGACTTCACTAAAATTCAAACTACGAAACTATCGATCCTACCGAGATTTTACTTTCACTATGTATTAGAGCAGCTGAAAAATAATTTTCATACAAATTTTCTCTTGAAAAGGGTTCTTGATTTTGTGATAGATTACGCTTGAATTTCTAAGCTCAGGGGCACCCAACGTCAATTTTCGGAAAATATCTGTTCGGAAGACGATTTGAGATCTAGAATTATCGGAACATTTTGTGTAAAATTTCTTGCTTGCCTGCCTCTCCTAGGATTTTCGAACTTCTGAAAAATGGTATAATTGCCCATTTTTAACGGATTTTACCCTAAAAAGGTCGCCTAGAATTTTCGAGAGCCTTTTTTCTGGCTGGAATTTTCGAAAAGGTAAGGTTTGATCCCTATAATTTTCGGATCGCTAGACTTTCAGCTAGGAAATCCGAACAGATGAAAAATCTTTAGGGGATGAAAATATGCCCATATCTACCGTTTAAATACTAAAATACGTTTAACTGTGCTATGTTTAAGTGGTTTGGAACTATATTCTCGTTGGGTGCCCCTGTAAGCTTTTGCGTGGCGCGGCATTTACATGACGGCCAAGAGAGCTGTCATGTAGGTTCAAAGAATGAGTTATTTCAGGAAATTTTGCTATCTAAACAGTTCATGTATTAGAAAAAGTATTACTTTAATGTTTATGAATTCTTCGAAGAATAAATTCACACTTTTGTAGCAAAACTCGGTAACGGATGTTTCTGTTGGTTTCCGTCCGCCATGTTGGTGCTCCGTCTGGATGGACACCAGCATGGCGTCTCCATACAAATCTCTATAAATTTGGGTAAAACGTTTCTTCGAATATCTCGTATACGAAATATTCCTCTGACCTGAAATTTGGCGAGGGTCTTTATCTGTTGAACGGTCTTGATTTTTATTTTGATCTATTTTGAATGGCGTGACACTGAAGACCAGCAATTGGAACAATTTACCAATCCCGAATTCTATTTGAAAATGATTTTACATACTTTATGGACTTTCGTATAGATAGTTTGAAAATGTGGATGAACCCCGTTCACGGATTTTCTTTTAGTTGCGGAAAAAAAAATTAGGAGCAATTGAGGGGGCTGTTTATGTGATAACAGCTGATAACGGAATGAATTTCATTTTGGAATAAGTTTAGTTCCAGAATGAAGTTCACGAGATCGACTGGCTCAGCCCCAAAACGGGGTTTTCGGCGCCGGATCAAATACGTATGCGCGACTCGCGGTTGACTTCACCATAATCGCCATTGGCGATTTTCTATCCGGAGCGAAGTTCCTTTTCAGTTTTGCCATACCAGAATGAAACTTAATAACAGAACAATGACCTAATTCCGGATTGACCTGTACGGGAACGAAATCTCGCTTTGGTATCATGTAAATAAATACAGAAAAATATATGGAGATGGAATGAACTCATTTCAGAATGAAAGTCCCGAATCGTGTGATTACCGGCCCCATGCAATATTAATATTTCAGCCCTATATTTTACACTGCATAATAATATGTATATCATTTTGCATCTGTATCAAAACAGAGTTTATAGTTAAAAAGGATTAAGGGGATCTATCTCAAGGTACGGAAAAACGGGCAACAAAAAACATGCAACTTGTTTTGCAACATCGCTGCAAAACGAGTTGAATAGCGATGTTGCGCGTTTACCACCCACCTCAAACCTGGTTGCACCAAATCAGGTTGTTGACAGGTTTGAACATGGGCCGGGTAAAACACGCAACATCGCTTTTCAACTCCGTTGCAGCAATGTTGCAAAAAAAGTTGCATGTTTTTTGTTGCCCGTTTTTCCGTACCGTTACTAGGGTGAACCTCACGATCCCTCAGTTTCAAATATATCATATTTTTGTTAGTTGTATTTGCTAGAAGTTCTCAGTATCAAAGTTCGAATTTAAGTATTGCTATTATTGCAATGAGTGTGAGATCCGCTCAGTATACCAGTACGCAAGAAAATCATGTTTGCAAGTTTTCAAGAGACAATTAGTTCAATCAATTCTTCTAATTGCTCGCATTAAAAACTTATTTCTTTTCTACCATTGAAACTGATCAAGCTCTTTTGTAAACAGTTTTTTTGTATAAGAAAGCTTTATTACAGTATGAATTTTAATTTTATGTTATCATGTTGTGCAAATTGTAACTCGTGTCCCTTGCCTAAGCTGCACGAAAATGCCTAAAAACCTCTAGGCGATCTCCGAGCTTGACATCAATTCCGAAAACCACGCATTAACCGAGCTCATTGTTTACGAAGACACAAAATGAAATCCTGTCAGTTGAAGGTTTGATTTTGCTTTAATATGAAGCCTGGCGAAGTCTGGAGTCAGTAGAAAATCCGTTTTAATACTTAAATATTATATTCTCTACAGAAAAATTGTCACACGTCTGGTAAACTATCATACCCAAGCTTTCTCAAGTCGAATCAGCCAAGAGCAGAAATTTAAAGCTGCTGGTCAGCGAATGATGGAGAAATATCTTTAAAGCGATTTTAATTGTTTTTTTTGAGAGCCAAAAATTAAACATTCATATAAACGAGAAAATTAGCATGTTTTATAGAAACGAATGCGAACATATGTTCTCAAGTGAACAAATTTAAGAATTTACTACGCCATGCCCTTTAGAACCATGGTTTCAGTTTTGTTTCCTTCTTTCACTTTAAAAGATAAAAATCTGGAAAACTTTGAAAGCAGTCAGTATTATATTAATTTCCTTTTGATAAATTTATTACTGTCATAAATTGCCATGCAGGTGTTGCCGACGCGGCAAGTGCGAAATTCTGGAGGGGATAAAAAAAGTATTTAATTATTTATGCCTGTACAATCAACAACAAACTTAGCTTGGTGATTTATATTTCTTGTTTACAATGCAACGGCAGTAATGGGCGCAGAGAACAGTTTGTAACATCAAAACTTCGATATTATTATAAAACTTATAGACAGGAAGAACACAGTATCTTTAATACTCTCGGAGTGATTGAGTTACTTTCTTTGAAAACATAAAGCTCTCTTGTTGTGGTCGAATCTCATATTTTTTCGCTTCTATGCAGGATTGAAATGTTTTTTTTTTTATAAATCAAATCACTTGAAAGCTAAAAATTCGTATAAGGTATATATTTTCAAGAATGTTCGAAGACAAATATTTTGTTACAGATGTAATCCTTTCAATAGTTATTGCAAGAAATATAACTCACTAGCGACGTATTGAGACGTATGTGGCAAATCTGGGCTTAACTATTCATAACAGCTTCTGTTAGTATGAATACGTTATATATATCACTCTTTTAAATTTGCATTCGATTTTGTAGAAGCCTCCCATACTCTATTTTCTGTTTATGTCCATCACCAGTCAAAAAATTTTATCCTTGGGTATTGATTTGTCTCGCTATCCTATTTTGTCAAGTTTAAGTCATCATAGTCCAATTCTCGTACATCATTCATTTCTGCATTAAAAGGTTTTCAATGACAATTTCCTCACATATGTTGTTGAAATCGACTAACAACTGAGAATCGCTCACGACACCTTTATTCTGAACTTACGAAAACCTTTTAATAAGGCAAAGCACGTCTCGCAGTTTTTTTTAAGCGGGAGGAGGCAGGGTGTTTAATAGTTATGCTCCGTTCTTTATTTTTAAGCTAATAGCTTATTTCAAAAATTTTCAGGGCTAACACTCGGGCCAAGTTCAGTTAAGTGAATGTTATTGTTCAAAAACTACTTTCATATTAATTCTTTTTTGACCGGACAGCTGTCGCAGTAAATGTGAATTTACATGAGTATTGAGATAATTCATTTCCATTTTTCGTTTGACTGAGCCATATATTTTTGATGTATCACATATCTTTTAGGGTTACTCAAGAGAAAGAAACAATTTTCGCTTGTTTTAGTTTCCTCAAAGATGAAAAATATCTCTAGCCTCCTTGTAGGTCAAACAGTTAAAGACCCAGAGCCGAAAAAATATTTAAATCTTCAATGCAACCAGTTTGATTAAAACGCTAACACAGAATTGCAATAAAATTATGAAGATCAACGTTATTTCAGTACAAACTTACCATTTTATCACTGAGAGAATAAACTACAGGCCTGTTTTGCTTTGACTTCACTGAAGATGAGGTATTAAAGGAGGAAAATCGGACTGAGTTGTCTTAGAATTGGAGGTTGGTGAGGATGGATGTCAGAAGAGTAGTGTGTCGAACTCTTTATAGCAAATTATACGAAAAGCTTCCTGCTATTGATGTGTGGCAGGCGAGAAATATTCATGAATTTCACCAGTCACTTGACAAGCACCTGTCAAATGTGAACCTATCTCTGTAAACTCAAACAAACAATAGAGGAAACTCTTTATTAATTCGAGGAAATCTTGTTTGACTTAATTGCAAGATGGAAAGCGTCGTGCAAATACGCCATGAGTATGCGGCCGTAATTAAAATTAAAGTTGCTGATGAAACACGGTATATATACATGCTCCCGAGTGATATGATTATTAAAAAATCCCTCACAATTTCTTTAGAATCGGGGATTTGCTGGATAGCTTTTGTCAGAAAACAAACAACAATAATGAGAAAAACAAATTAAGCAGGTGTAAACGAGGATGTTGTGGATACAAAATTTTACTATGAATTTCTCCCCTTTTTCTAGAATCTTGCTGTTGCAAAATAAGGCAAAAGAAACNCTGAGCCATATATTTTTGATGTATCACATATCTTTTAGGGTTACTCAAGAGAAAGAAACAATTTTCGCTTGTTTTAGTTTCCTCAAAGATGAAAAATATCTCTAGCCTCCTTGTAGGTCAAACAGTTAAAGACCCAGAGCCGAAAAAATATTTAAATCTTCAATGCAACCAGTTTGATTAAAACGCTAACACAGAATTGCAATAAAATTATGAAGATCAACGTTATTTCAGTATAAACTTACCATTTTATCACTGAGAGAATAAATTACAGGCCTGTTTTGCTTTGACTTCACTGAAGATAAGGTATTAAAGGGGGAAAATCGGACTGAGTTGTCTTAGAATTGGAGGTTGGTGAGGATGGATGTCAGAAGAGTAGTGTGTCGAACTCTTTATAGCAAATTATACGAAAAAAACAAAAGCTTCCTGCTATTGATGTGTGGCAGGCGAGAAATATTCATGAATTTCACCAGTCACTTGACAAGCACCTGTCAAATGTGAACCTATCTCTGTAAACTCAAACAAACAATAGAGGAAACTCTTTATTAATTCGAGGAAATCTTGTTTGACTTAATTGCAAGATGGAAAGCGTCGTGCAAATACGCCATGAGTATGCGGCCGTAATTAAAATTAAAGTTGCTGATGAAACTCAGTATATATACATGCTCCCGAGTGATATGATTATTAAAAAATCCCTCACAATTTCTTTAGAGACGGGGATTTGCTGGATAGCTTTTGTCAGAAAACAAACAACAATAATGAGAAAAACAAATTAAGCAGGTGTAATCGAGGATGTTGTGGATACAAAATTTTACTATGAATTTCTCCCCTTTTCTAGAATCTTGCTGTTGCAAAATAAGGCAAAAGAAACATCCTTCATTGGATTGGCTGTCCTTTTCAGCGCACTATTTTCTGGTAATAGCAGATTTTTTTTTTTAGCGTACTCCATTGATGAATGTGTGATTAATTATTTTTATTGCACTTTTGACTGGAAGGATAGCTCGTTCCGTTCACTGCCTAGAAGCTGATGACATTGATAGTTTCTTACAAACTAATTTGCTTACTCTTTTCATTTGCGAACAGTTTAATTTGTCTTTCCAACTTACTAACGTTTATTATGGACCGAGCTGCAGATGATCAACGGTTTGCAGATATATTTTCTTACGATTCTTAAAACCTGTCATTAAAACAAGTGAACCTAGCTGACCCCGATGGGGGTACTGAGCTAACGCGGCGGACAAAGGCTCTGGGAACGAGATTGGAATGAAATCCTCACAAAAACGCCCCAATAAAAGAGAAAAAGGAGGAATTTGGCGAACGTAACTCACGAAAGTCACTATTTTAAATCTCTCCCAGATTATGATGTGCCTTTCAGCCGTTCCTATTAGCACAAACAAATCTAGACAAAACGTTTCATTGTACCAAACAGAAAAACAAATTATCAAACTATCTCAGCTTATTGTTCGGTCATGGTCATGATTTGCAACACTGAACCGTCGTTAGTTTGTAAAAGCTATTGTAAATTCGTAACACTTAATCGTAATTTGCAATATCTGTCGCAGTTTGTAATACATTTGTCTTAATTTTTATTACTTGTTTAGGTGTTCTTAGTTTGTAATAAGCGAAACTTTCACAATTTGTAAGAACGTTGTCGTAATTTTTAATAAACGAGAAACAGCTGTCTATAATTATATTCCTCTTGTCAACTAACATGTTATTAGTTTTATGAAGTCGCGAAAAGAAGAGGAAACAGTGAACCCCCTCCCCTCTAAAGAAAATTTCTACTACAAAAAGCACCAGAGAGGTTTAGTTTCAGGTTCTATTTTTCTCTCCGATTTGAGCCGTCATTTGTGCGATTCAGAGGCCAGATATCATATGGCCTATCGTCTCATGTAAGAGAATCCGGGGCCAGAGTACTACTAAAAAAACACACACACCTCATTTCTCAGCTGACAGTTAAATTTTTTGACCATTGCTCACTTACCCGTTAGCTTTCCGTTTGTATGCACGCTCTGCAGACCTATAAACTTTTTGTCTCGCAAGGCAGTCTGGTCTGGATTGTTTTGCACGTGCGCAGTGGTGGTACTAGATATCAAAATGGCGGACGGAAGACCAGTTGCGTTTTTAACGTTTTGCGCTCGGAAAATCTCCTTCAAATTATGGTGAATTCTTGATTGTGCTCTTGACATTTCAAAAGCTATTAAGCCACCAATAACTGGCTATGGCACAGTGCACGCAAACAGCGTTCGAGTTTATACAGAGCGCATTTTGCCCGATGGTTGCAGTGATGTGTAGTGAGGATGCTGATAAAGTTTGCCAGAAAAACAACTTAAGCTTCGTGGAAATGGTGCGACCATTTTGTCATCTTACGAGTGAAGGTAATTATTATAAGATTAAGATAGCCTTGTTAGTTTTTAGATCATCGTTTGTGCTATAGTTAATGAGTTTTTGTTTGATAAATAAATACCAAGTACTAAAAGGCTGTAAAACGTCGTCAATGCATTCACTTAATCGTTGAATGTAAGTAATTATCGATTAATTAACCGTTGATTTTGCGTTGAACTTAATAAATTTTTAATTGTTGATTTCCCTTCCAGCGGCATTGTTGTAAAATGTGTTGTAATTATTATTCTTCGAGCAATCAAAAAGTCGATTCACAGTCACAGTTCCAAAACTATGTACCTAAGTCAACTATGGTGAATTTCATTTTTTTTTATTAAAATTAAACTAAAACATAATGATCCATTTGTAAGGTATGATAATCAGCATGTAGTTATCTTTGCCATTCATTTACCAAGCTTGAAATGAACCATCTTTTTGTATTTCATGAACCGTTATTTCATGAGCCATGACTGTAGTTTTGAAAGCCACAGGCCCCGATTGTTCAAGCTTTGGACAGCACTATCCACCAGATAAATCGTTATCCAATTGATAAGTATTAGAGAAATCAATTGCATTTTCCTGTGGAAAACAATTTATCTAATGGATAGAGTTTTCCACTTTTTGAACAACTGGCTGCTGTGCTGAGGTAGAATCAGGGTTCGCAAATACGCCAAATTTGGCGTATTTTACCCCAAAATTGTTCAAATGACTCCACTGAGGTTACGGAGGAAGTCACTTCGACTCCAGAAATCTTCGGTAACAAACATAGTTTTGTCCTTACCTTTTTCGCAACAAATACAATTTACGTTAATTGTAAACGTTGTAAACCTTAATTAAATCATCGAAATTAAAGAATTATACTGCACGACCAAAAAACAGGAAGAGGGTAAATTATGATGAAAGGTGTATCCCTCACGATAGTGTCAACATGCCAGGACCACGTGCTGGAAAGTCTGTTTGGCTTTTTTTGTTGTGATACTTGACTCCAAATATTCCAAAATGACTCCAAAACTTGTGAACCAGAAGTCACACTGACTCCACTCATCAAGAAAATTTGCAAACCCTGTAGAATTTTGGATCTCTCTTTCGAATGTCCATCCCCCCCANCAAACATAGTTTTGTCCTTACCTTTTTCGCAACAAATACAATTTACGTTAATTGTAAACGTTGTAAACCTTAATTAAATCATCGAAATTAAAGAATTATACTGCACGACCAAAAAACAGGAAGAGGGTAAATTATGATGAAAGGTGTATCCCTCACGATAGTGTCAACATGCCAGGACCACGTGCTGGAAAGTCTGTTTGGCTTTTTTTGTTGTGATACTTGACTCCAAATATTCCAAAATGACTCCAAAACTTGTGAACCAGAAGTCACACTGACTCCACTCATCAAGAAAATTTGCAAACCCTGTAGAATTTTGGATCTCTCTTTCGAATGTCCATCCCCCCCAACACCAATATAGACACCTATTTAAAGAAATGGCTTTTCAAAAATTTTTTTTTTGACATGGAGACACGCATCCAATGGGGCATTAAGAACTTGTTGTCAGATAGCCTGGGACTAGTGGTGCAGCCCATAATGTTAGAGAGTTGTCCTTTGGACAAGCAAAATTTTTCAAGCTAAAGTAAAATAATGTTAGTGAAAAGGGGGGTTGGTAGTGTACATGACTGTTCCAGGGGCACATTTCTCGAAAGTCCCGATAATTAACGGGCCCGTATATCTGTTGTTGTTTACATGCAAGGTAGAGGTTTCAGTAGTTTTGCATCTAATGTGATAAAACTATCAGTTAATGAAACAGAATGGAGTAGTTTGCTACCCAGAACCCATGCTCTTATTCTTTATATTTCGATTTGAAAATTTGTTTTTGGGCCCGAAACGTTACTGGGGCTTTCGAGAAATGGGCCACAGGCTAGTAAACCTTAGCAAAGGCTTGCACAATGTTCTTCATCTCAGCTTGATTCAATCTCGAATGAAGAACTACATTAGGAAAGTGCAAACAAGAAAAAAGTGGCAACCATATGTACATATACATTAGCTGAATATTATTTATGAAATAAATATTTAGGTCACGGATGTACAATGTACCATGAAGGCATTATAATCTTATGCAAAAAAGTAATAGTGCCATACAGTATTGTTAATATTTATTTACACAACCATTTATGCATTGCACCTTGTGTTACTTGAATTGTAGCTCATGCCCGCGATCCCTCTGGTGTAATCCATGCTGTGAGAAACTGGCGCATCAGGCTGGTTGAAATGTCAGCAACACATCCACCCCAGCATGTTGTGAATAAACTTTTGAGTGAAGTTGTGTCACGAACTCAGCCATTAAATACTGATCCTAGCACTTTGACTCCTGAAGCACAGATGAAAGGTAAGAAAATGAAGAACAACTGGGCTGACATTAAGGTAATGAGGTGTTTTGGTAAATGTTGACATCTATATGTGAGAAAAATTTATGAGCCATTTATTTGTCACCATTTTATTTATGTTTTCTTAAGATAAACAATATAAGGCTTTTTAGTTAGTTGAGTTAACCCATTCCCCTGGAAATTTTGGTGAAAAACACGGCTTGAGGCTAGTAGAGCCATTTTCTAATCAGCCTAAACTGCTTGAAACATTGTTTACAAGTCATGTACTATGCTACCTTTTGTTCCCAATTACATCGTTTTGAAAATTTTGGGTGGGTATGTAGAAGGCAAAATTTTGAGTTTTTTTTTTTAAAGTGACATAGCCCCCTTGAATTTTACCTTCCACATTTTCTCCTGGGACCACAGTTTGGTGTTTGTTTATGGAGGTGTCTGTTATCAGAGGTTCGACTGTATGTAAATGTACATGTAAGCTCAGTAGGTGTTAATAGTGATGGAAGTGGGTTAGCAACAAGCGACTGTGATCACTTTTAACATGTTTTAGCTGAAAATTCATATGCTATCTCTGTTTCAGAACTTTTTCACTCCTATAAATTGCTTTTCAGTTGGTTATAAGTGTGTACCTGCTTGTTTCTGGTCTGTTTATGTCTTTACAGCCTCTGCACCTTGGTTTGAAGCATTTCGAGATTGCTTTTTTCAACTAGTGAAGCCATCTGATCATGAATTTATCAGACACTTTTTAGCTTGTATCCTTAAGGCAAATTTTATTTTTATTTGTGTCTGGGTATTGTTATTTGTTAAAAAACTAGTTACTGTCGTACTGAAAATAATGTAAATCAAAGTACAGGGATGTTGGAGCCTCCCTATCAGACCTGACACTTGTTTGAGACTGAAATTCTTACAGTCATTGACAGGATTGTCTATATCACTTTTTAACTGGCTGATTTTGTTTATGAAATACGTGTTGCATTTTACCACTGAACTAAATTCTGGGATATTCAAAAATGTAAAACTGGTTTTGGGTACCCTCCTATGATCTGTTTACCTCAGCTTGCAAGGCAGTATTTCCTGCACCATTGGCGACCGGCGTTTACAGATTGAGAAACACGTGAGAAGTAATTTGCCACAAAAAAGTTCAACAGTCTTTTCTGAACCAAAGTTTGGACTCCCACCACCACCCAATCAAAAATTCCTGGATCCATCCCTCAGGGCTCGACGTTGCGACCCGTGGGGTCGTCAATGCGACCAGCTTTTACTCAGTGGTGAGCAAGTTTTCATGCCTGGTCGCCAACCTGGCCCCCAAGATAGGTGACTTTCTTCTTTGGGAAAACGTACACTGATGATAATCGGTTATCCTTCACAAAACTAAATCCATTAATTCTTAAATATAATTTTTGTTGACCAGAATACTTGTTCTGGTGACAAAAAATGAAAACTTGAGGGCCAGCTGGACCCAAGATTTTTTTCTGAAAGTCGAGCACTGCCCCTGTATATTTTCCTTAGCTACATCCCTGAAAGAATGAAATTGAACCATAACATCTCTTGCTTTGACAGGGCTCTCACTAAGGACCCAGGGTGTGGGGATTTCACCCCACTTCTATAAGCATGACCCCTAGTTACTTTCATAAGAATTTGAAGGAATATAGAATTGATTTCCTAAATGATCAATCCCCGCCTATCAATTGCATATACCTACTAACTTGAAATTGTAGTGACAGTCCTGTTTGATCAGTCCATAGCATTTTAGTTTTCCTTGATAACTGTGATATTATTGAAGGTCTCATAGTTGTATCATCTCACCATCCTGACCCCATGAATGCATTTGCCACCATGAGCTCACAGCAGTTAGAGCAGCAGTCAGAACAACATGGCCATTTCAGATGGTTCACCAGCACTGTGTTTAAGTATTACCTGCTTTTACATGATGTCAGTGTTGGAGAAGAGTCGAAGTAAGGATGCTGCAATAATGTTCAACCTGACTTGTGGCTTTTATTTATTAAATAATCATTTAAAAAAATTCAAACAAACATATATTGTATGCGTGACTTAAAACCCCAGCTAGTGAACTGGATCAATATTTTATAAACATGACTGAGATGTTGAAATTTGAAAACATTATGTATAAAGAAACAAATTTACCTAGTGTTCAGATTGTGACTCAGATCATGCCTTTCAGACTGTGAGTTTTATGCACTGACCTTCATGTGTACATGGGCTAGTTGGATTCTCTCTTAATCACCGTTTCATGGGCGTTTGACTGTATGGAGCTAAGTTTCCTGTTTAGAAAAATAACATGCATTCATGAACATGATGGCGGCCTGGCTAAGCTGTCAGCTTGCTAACCTAGTTGTTCGAAAGGTAGATAACGTAAAGGCTGCATGAGGGGAACATGCAAAGGGGAGAGGAGGCTTCTTCTCCTTTCATCCTCTCGCACGTGTTCATCCTCAAATTTTCTCTTTTCTCCCTAAAAAAATACCAGTGCCTGCTACGCAACTATGGATAACTCTATCCCTGGAATAAATCTCTATCCACTATCCAGATAGTGCAATAATAAAATCATTGGTTTGCCTAATACTTATTGTCTAGGTAGTGATTTATCTCGTGGATAACACTATCCAGCTTTTGAGCAACTGTAGGCTGATCTGAAGTCATCGACCACTGAATCACCCGTGTTCACTTTGTATGTCATGTATGTCTTACATTCTTTGATATGCTTTTCAGGGCTGAGGCTGTTTATCAAAGCATGAAGTCTGTCTATGGTTCAAATGCTTGTCACCTTTTACAGATCAATTCTGTGCATCACACAGGAACCAATCCCAGACCTAACCTGCCTGATCCATGGAGTCAGTTTATCATACCAACTAGTGAGGACACTTTGGTAAGAGACTACATTTATGTAGTTCTGTGTTGTTTAATTGTGTATAGTATAGTTTATATATATAGAATTCTGATAGATTAACTTTACTTATGAGAGAGTTTAAGCTTCACGTATATGACAAACGGCAAACATCAAATTCAAGCTGAGAATTTACTCAAAATAGAAAATGAGGGGACAAAAACATCTCAAAATAATTCTTATGGATAAAAAAATATCATTACATGAAACCACTAATTTATGTGTAGAAATAATGGAAAGTAAAATAAATGACAATTTAAGGGAAAACTTGGTCATGTGGTACAAATTCGTATTTGCCTTTTGACGTAAGTGTGATGCTTAACCTCTTTGTTGCTTTTCCTTTAACCAGGACTGGGATGATGATGAAGTAGGTGCTGATACCCAGACAGTGGAAGATGATCCTGAGAACTGTGCTGTTGATGAGAACTTCGATCCTGAGGCTGCTGTTGAAGAAACAGAGGGAGGACCTGGGCGTGTGCGCAGCAGTTCTGGTCCAATTCTGATAGGTCCACTGTCATTTGATGACAGCCCTGAACCAGAGGACAAACTAGAGAATGAAATACCCCAGAAGAATCTTTCAGGGAAGCAAACCCCAAAACACCATCATCATCTTGCAAGCCATTATCGATATTTTTCCAGCCGTCATTTCTCTGGGGGTACAAGGGGCTCATCAGCTCAAAGAAATCATGGGCTGTGTTTGAGTCTTAGTGATCACGACAGGATAAAGATATTTGTTCATGAGCTGGGTTACAGAGGATTATTGCAGTACATTGAGAGGCTAATGAGACACCTTAATGAGCAGGTACACTGTACACATTGTGTAAAGTTGGGGTGTTTTTAGTGAAACTCTTTATTCACAAGATTGCTTCATGAAAATCAAAATTTTATAGTCAAACAGCAAAACCGTGAACACTTGAAATGTTTCAGAAATGTTTACTGTGTTACAACCAATCACAGCCAAGATCAGGACACGCTAACTAGCCATAAAACCATAAACTAATTAATGTTCTTGCTTGTGGTTTAGTTTCTCATTCCTGATTGGCTTTTTTCTTGCAACACAGTACCATTCCAGAAGTATTTCTCGTTTGCACAGTTTTGCTGGTTTGACTGTAAAGTTTCAAATGTCATTTAAAAAAAAAAAATAAAAAAAACATTAAGCATTGTGTATAAGTGCTGCCATACAGGTTTCAATTCAAGCTTTCAATGCAGATTTTTGTCACCAGACTCATGCCTCTTGCAAGAGATTCTGTCCTTTGGATTTTCCAAAATTTTCACATATCCCCTAAAAAATAAATGTTCCATCTTTATAAGTTCACTGAAAAATAAATAATGTGAAATTATTTTTGTTATCCATATTAATCATTTTTTTATCTGTTTCAGATTGTTTCCCGAAAAGGCCTTCATCGTTATTTCAGTGGAGCCAAGAAGTGGTTCAGTGGAGGGAAACCTGCTGGGCTTGCTTCTGGATTGGTTCCAGGAATTATGTAAGTTTTATCTTGTAAAAGCAATGTAACACAAGCCCTTCTTATACAAAATAAAAACTCTAAGAGGACCATGGCAGAGATCCATGTTCTCAGTCGTCTGGTCATCCCAGACGACTACAATCTCGTACAGACAATTACAAGATAACTTCAAAAATTGCCCTTCGGACAAGTGAGGTTAATAGCAAACTTTTTTATGTTAATTTCAGCTACACCAGTGATGCCCCAGAATTGTATCAGCGCAAACTGGGTGACCTAGCTTTTCTAGTGCAAAATTACGAGCTAGCTTACAACTGCTACCACACGGCCAAGAGAGACTTCAATAATGAGCATGCTTGGTTTTATTTTGCTGGAGCACTGGTAAGAATGACAATGTTGCCATTAATTTTCAACTTAAATAGAGATTACATAGAAATAATATTACAGTTAACACTCTCTAAGGTGGACTCCTTTGGGACCAGCACTACTTGTATGCGCTGTCTTAGAGAGTCAACTAAAAGGAGTACAATAAATGATCGATTAAGAGCTGCTACTCGAATAAGTGTCGCTCTTGAATATTTAATCATTTGGGTATTTAAAAATAACACCCCACCTTTGTTACAGCCCTTTATATAAAGAGATCTCAAAACCATATCACTTGAGAAATGAGACCTCTATAAACTCGTGAGTTGTAAAGTTTTAATGTAGCTAGGGAAACTCTTGAAACCAGGTTTTTTAAATTAACTCTTTAAGTCCCAATACTGACCAAAAATGTCCATAGATTGTCAAGAACAAAGTCTATGAGAATTAATAAAATGATCATGCAAAGAGAAAAATCTTTGATCTTTTATCAAATACTCTTAAGTAATTCTTAAAGGAAGTGTATGGAGATCAGTTTGGGGAAGTTGTATGTTCGAGGTGGACATATTTTATATTAAATTGTGCACACCTTACAGTGTATAATTATGCACCTCACATAATGGAGAGGAGAAGTCGTTACATCACGTTGCCATGGTAGCAAAATTTTCGGATGACAACAAAGCAAACAAAGCAAAATTAGGAGGTTTCATGTCACAGTCATGCAATGATGGCTAAGAAAAGTACAAAAAAAAAGTTGTTTCGCTAATGTAAATCTATCGGGTATTTTTTTTGCCCTTCTCTTTACCGTCTCTGTCGTCATTGCTTAATCTTGGCCCTATTGTTGTCATCCCAAATTTGGCTACCATGGTAACTTGACGTCACACTTCTCCTCTCTATTCTCTCTTTTTTACATGTAGTTGAAATAAGTGCCGCTCTTGAATAAGCGCTGCTCTCGTATAAGCGCTGCACCTATAACAGGGAAAATGAAATAAGCGCCGCATGGCCCTTTATCGATCATTTACGGGACCAACTCTTAAACCCTCATTTTAGCAAGGTGTGAATCTTAAAGAGGTGTCCAATAAGAGAGAGAGGTGACTGAATCAATGTTTTTCTTCTGCATTGTAAAAATTGGATTCGACCCATATGGGTGATTACCTTGATCTGTTAAAAATTAATTTTTAATCTTAAAAAAAAGAAATTATTGTCTTGTCCTTCTCACTACAAGAATCCTTGATTGAATTGCATTTAATTTTGGTTATTTTTGTTAGGAAATGGCAGCTATTTCAGCATTCATGGCCTCATATCAACGCTCCTACCCCACCCACTACATGGAGACATCCATCACCACCTACCTCAATGCCTGCAGGTATTATGCATGCATTATTATTTTTTTTAAGGGTAATTGTTTAAGAAGCAGTTATAGCACTCGGGGTGGTCGGATGTACCTCGAGCAGCTCCGCAAGTTTTTCTATTGTTCAAGTTTATCCACTGTACAGGTATATTTACTTTTAATGATGATAGACATGAAGCAATTGAAGAAAGTAAACTACCAAAATTTCTTGAAGTAATTTTTTCTCCTTTCGTAATTTTAGTAATATTAATTACTGTCATTGTAATGTTTTTGTGTGACTGTTCTGTCCAGATTAGCAAATGCTACTTGTGGACCAGTCTCTTTGTGTTGTATATTTACAATTATTTATTCAAATTAATTTGAAAGTTGAAGTTGGCCTAAAGTATGACATTTGGTATTCATACACATCAGAGTCACTCTAATGAAAATTTAATTGTAATGTTGTTAGTCAAGCAAATGTTCTTTGCCATTTTAACTGTTTGGATAACCAATTGAGCTGTTAAAATACTCTTCCTTGTGTTTGAGGTGATAATGAAATTATTACTGCTCCTGTACGTGTTAGATTATCTTGAATTGTTGATGCCACATGTTAGTGTAATTGAAGCTGATCATTCCTATTTCAAACAGTATCGTGTCTCTCTTTTCTCAATGTGTTCGTAAATTTCTCCTTTTTCAGACAGCACCAGTTTGCTATAAGAGCAACTCTCCTTAGCACTGAAGCACTCAAGTCACGTAATATCTTTTTGGACCCTGCGATGCAGTTCATGAGAATGACTGCTGAGGTAGATTATTAATTTACAGCTGAAAAGAATCTGACCCATCCATTAATCTTAACATCATTTAAGGTTTTTTGTGAGACATCATGGAAGGGGCAGGGAAGATGAAAGATCTGGGGTTATGGAGAGGAGAATTTTTTACGTCACATTGTTATGGAAGCAAAATTTCTGCATGACACCAAACCTAAAATATCACTTAAAGAGTGAATTTGCACAGTTTCAAACTTCATTGATCTGATTCAATTTCAGTTAATTTGTCAAATTGTCTAGGGTTGAATCCAAGAGGACTGTATCTAAGTTAAAAAAAGAAAAAGAAAACTTTGGTGAACATTGTGTTTACCTACTCCATAAAGCAGGCGCTTGAAATTAGGAAGTTTAACGTCACAGTCATGCAACAATGGTTAAAATAATTAATGGCAACAAACCTCAACCTAAACCTTAAAATATCTATTTTTCAGGATTCTGATCTTCTGTGTGCCCTTCTTTTGGAGCAAGCTGCCCATTGTTTTCTTCACACCAATCCTCCTATGATCCGCAAGTATGCTTTCAACATGATTTTAGCAGGTCATCGGTACAGCAAATCAGCCCAGGTACATACACAACTGAAGGGTGCTACCATTTGTTGGTACAAATTCGTATTTGCCTTTTGACGTAAGTGTGATGCTTAACCTCTTTGTTGCTTTTCCTTTAACCAGGACTGGGATGATGATGAAGTAGGTGCTGATACCCAGACAGTGGAAGATGATCCTGAGAATTGTGCTGTTGATGAGAACTTCGATCCTGAGGCTGCTGTTGAAGAAACAGAGGGAGGACCTGGGCGTGTGCGCAGCAGTTCTGGTCCAATTCTGATAGGTCCACTGTCATTTGATGACAGCCCTGAACCAGAGGACAAACTAGAGAATGAAATACCCCAGAAGAATCTTTCAGGGAAGCAAACCCCAAAACACCATCATCATCTTGCAAGCCATTATCGATATTTTTCCAGCCGTCATTTCTCTGGGGGTACAAGGGGCTCATCAGCTCAAAGAAATCATGGGCTGTGTTTGAGTCTTAGTGATCACGACAGGATAAAGATATTTGTTCATGAGCTGGGTTACAGAGGATTATTGCAGTACATTGAGAGGCTAATGAGACACCTTAATGAGCAGGTACACTGTACACATTGTGTAAAGTTGGGGTGTTTTTAGTGAAACTCTTTATTCACAAGATTGCTTCATGAAAATCAAAATTTTATAGTCAAACAGCAAAACCGTGAACACTTGAAATGTTTCAGAAATGTTTACTGTGTTACAACCAATCACAGCCAAGATCAGGACACGCTAACTAGCCATAAAACCATAAACTAATTAATGTTCTTGCTTGTGGTTTAGTTTCTCATTCCTGATTGGCTTTTTTCTTGCAACACAGTACCATTCCAGAAGTATTTCTCGTTTGCACAGTTTTGCTGGTTTGACTGTAAAGTTTCAAATGTCATTTAAAAAAAAAAAATAAAAAAAACATTAAGCATTGTGTATAAGTGCTGCCATACAGGTTTCAATTCAAGCTTTCAATGCAGATTTTTGTCACCAGACTCATGCCTCTTGCAAGAGATTCTGTCCTTTGGATTTTCCAAAATTTTCACATATCCCCTAAAAAATAAATGTTCCATCTTTATAAGTTCACTGAAAAATAAATAATGTGAAATTATTTTTGTTATCCATATTAATCATTTTTTTATCTGTTTCAGATTGTTTCCCGAAAAGGCCTTCATCGTTATTTCAGTGGAGCCAAGAAGTGGTTCAGTGGAGGGAAACCTGCTGGGCTTGCTTCTGGATTGGTTCCAGGAATTATGTAAGTTTTATCTTGTAAAAGCAATGTAACACAAGCCCTTCTTATACAAAATAAAAACTCTAAGAGGACCATGGCAGAGATCCATGTTCTCAGTCGTCTGGTCATCCCAGACGACTACAATCTCGTACAGACAATTACAAGATAACTTCAAAAATTGCCCTTCGGACAAGTGAGGTTAATAGCAAACTTTTTTATGTTAATTTCAGCTACACCAGTGATGCCCCAGAATTGTATCAGCGCAAACTGGGTGACCTAGCTTTTCTAGTGCAAAATTACGAGCTAGCTTACAACTGCTACCACACGGCCAAGAGAGACTTCAATAATGAGCATGCTTGGTTTTATTTTGCTGGAGCACTGGTAAGAATGACAATGTTGCCATTAATTTTCAACTTAAATAGAGATTACATAGAAATAATATTACAGTTAACACTCTCTAAGGTGGACTCCTTTGGGACCAGCACTACTTGTATGCGCTGTCTTAGAGAGTCAACTAAAAGGAGTACAATAAATGATCGATTAAGAGCTGCTACTCGAATAAGTGTCGCTCTTGAATATTTAATCATTTGGGTATTTAAAAATAACACCCCACCTTTGTTACAGCCCTTTATATAAAGAGATCTCAAAACCATATCACTTGAGAAATGAGACCTCTATAAACTCGTGAGTTGTAAAGTTTTAATGTAGCTAGGGAAACTCTTGAAACCAGGTTTTTTAAATTAACTCTTTAAGTCCCAATTGGTACAAATTCGTATTTGCCTTTTGACGTAAGTGTGATGCTTAACCTCTTTGTTGCTTTTCCTTTAACCAGGACTGGGATGATGATGAAGTAGGTGCTGATACCCAGACAGTGGAAGATGATCCTGAGAACTGTGCTGTTGATGAGAACTTCGATCCTGAGGCTGCTGTTGAAGAAACAGAGGGAGGTCCTGGGCGTGTGCGCAGCAGTTCTGGTCCAATTCTGATAGGTCCGCTGTCATTTGATGACAGCCCTGAACCAGAGGACAAACTAGAGAATGAAATACCCCAGAAGAATCTTTCAGGGAAGCAAACCCCAAAACACCATCATCATCTTGCCAGCCATTATCGATATTTTTCCAGCCGCCATTTCTCTGGGGGTACAAGGGGGTCATCAGCTCAAAGAAATCATGGGCTGTGTTTGAGTCTTAGTGATCACGACAGGATAAAGATATTTGTTCATGAGCTGGGTTACAGAGGATTATTGCAGTACATTGAAAGACTAATGAGACACCTTAATGAGCAGGTACATTGTACGCATTGAGTAAAGTTCGGGTGTTTTTAGTGATTCTCTTTATTCACAAGATTGCTTCATGAAAATCAAAATTTTACAGTCAAACAGCAAAACTGTTAACACTTGAAATGTTTCAGAAATGTTTATTGTGTTACAACCAATCACAACCAAGATCAGGACACGCTAACTAGCCATAAAACCACAAACTAATTAATGTTCTTGCTTGTGGTTTAGTTTCTCATTCCTGATTGGCTTTTTTTTGCAACACAGTAACATTCCAGAAATATTTCTCGTTTGCACGGTTTTGCTGGTTTGACTGTAAAGTTTCAAATGTCATTTTCAAAAAAAAAAAATTTAAAAAAAATTTAAGCATGGTGTGTAGGAGCTGCCATACAGGTTTAAATTCAAGCTTTCAATGCAGATTTTTGTCACCAGACTCAAAAGTTAGAACTACATTGTGTGGTGCCTCTTGCAAGAGATTCTGTCCTTTGGATTTTCCAAAATTTTCACATATCCCCTAAAAAATAAATGTTTCCATATTTATATGTTCACTCAGTGAAAATAAATAATGTGAAATTATTTTCTTTATTGATATGAATCATTTTTCTATCTGTTTCAGATTGTTTCCCGAAAAGGCCTCCATCGTTATTTTAGTGGAGCCAAGAAGTGGTTTAGTGGAGGGAAACCTGCTGGGCTTGCTTCTGGATTGGTTCCAGGAATTATGTAAGTTTTATCTTGTAAAAGCAATGTAACAAAAACCCTTCTTATACAAAATAAAAACTCCAAGAGGACCATGGCAGGGATCCATACTCTCAGTCGTCTAGTCGTCCCAGACGACTACAATCTCGTATAGACAATTACAAGATAACTTCAAAAATAATTGCCCTTCAGACAAGTGAGGTTAATAGCAAACTTTTTTATTTCAATTTCAGCTACACCAGTGATGCCCCAGAATTGTATCAGCGCAAACTGGGTGACCTAGCTTTTCTAGTGCAAAATTATGAGCTAGCTTACAACTGCTACCACACGGCCAAGAGAGACTTCAATAATGAGCATGCTTGGTTTTATTTTGCTGGAGCACTGGTAAGAATGGCAATGTTGCCATTAATTTTCAGCTTTTTTACTACTACATGAAAAATCTCTGCAATTTGATTGTCGTAGAGCAGTGGTATAATTTTCAGCTTTATTTGAAATACCTACATGTGAAAATTACAAACCTTTCGCAGGTAGTAGTATAAACAAATAATAGCATGATTTGTACGTGATATTTGGCATAAATACCACTAGTGATAGTTGAAAAAATTGTCTCAAATTTCACTCGCCTAACTGCTTGTGAAATTATATATAACAATTGCGAAATATCACTCGTGGTATTTATGCCAAATATCACTACTAATCATGCTATTACCTATACAAATAGAGATTAAATAAAAATGATATTACAGTTTCAGTTGTAACTCTCTCTAAGGTGGACTCCTTTGTGACCAGCACTACTCGTATGTGCTGTCTTAGAGAGATGTATCTTGTCTTCTAGAGAGCCAACTAAAAGGAGTACCATGATCGATTAAGAGCTGCTACTCGAACAAGTGTTGTTCTCGAATAATTAATAATTTGGGTATTTAAAATTAACACCCCACCTTTGTTACAGTGCTTTATATAAAGAAATATCAAAACCATATCACTTAAGAAATAAGACCTCTATAAACTCATGAGTTGTAAAGTTTTAATGTAGCTAGGGAAACTCTTGAAACCAGGTTTTTTAATTAACAGTTCGAGGTGGACATATTTTATATTAAATTGTGAACACCTTTTATGCACCTCACTTAATAGAGAGGAGAAGTCGTTACGTCATGTTGCCATGGTAGCAAAAATTTTGGATGACAACAAAGCAAAAATTCACTTAAAAAGTAAATTTGCACTCTTTCAAATGTCATCGATCTTATTCAATTTCATTTAATTTGTCAAATGTTGGTGAAATTTTCTTGATTCAATCCGAAAGGGCTGTATCTGAGTTTAGAAAAGAAAAAGAAACTATTTGTGTTGTGTTCACCTACTCCATAAAGCGGGTGTACGAAATTAGGACTAGGTTTCATGTCGCAGCAATGCAATGACGGCTAGGAAATGTACAAAAAAAAAAGTGTGATGCATGTGCAAAGTTGTCGTAGTGCTTATCTAAATCTATCGTTTTTTTTTGCCCTTCTCGTCACTGTCGCTGTCGTTGTTGCTTAAACTTGGCCCAAATTGTTGTCATCCAAAAATTTGGCTACCATGGTAACTTGACGTCACACTTCTCCTCTCTATTCTCTCTATATTCCCCTCAGTGTTTTACATGTCGTTGAAATAAGTGCCACTCTCGAATAAGCACCTCTCTCATATAAGCACCACACCTATAACGGGGAAAATGAAATAAGCACTGCACAGTGCTTAATCGATCATTTACAGGACCAACTCTAAAACCCTCATTTTAGCGAGGTGTGCATCTTAAAGAAGTGTCCAGTAAGAGGGAGAGATGACTGAATCAGTGTTTTTCTTGTGCATTGTAAAAATTGGATTCGATCCACATGGGTGATTACCTTAATCTGTTCAAAATTAATTTTTAATCTTAAAAAAATGAAATTCTTGTCTTGTCCTTCTCACTACAAGTAGCCTTGATTGAATTGCATTTAAGTTTGATTATTTTTTTTAGGAAATGGCAGCTATTTCAGCATTCATGGCCTCATATCAGCGCTCTTACCCCACCCACTACATGGAGACATCCATCACTACCTACCTCAATGCCTGCAGGTATTATGCATGCATTATTATTTTTTTAAGGGTAATTGTTTAAGAAGCAATTATAGCACTCGGGGTGGTCGGATGTGCCTCGAGCAGCTCTGCAAGTTTTTCTATGATTTGTTAACTCGGAACGTAAGTTAAGCAGTTTATCCACTGTATATTTACTTTTAATGATGGGAGACATGAAGCGATTGAAGAAAGTACGCTGCCAAAATTTCTTGAAGTAATTGTGTGTCCTTTCCTAATTTTAGTAATATTAATTATTCTCATTGTAATGTTTTTGTGTGACTGTTCCATCCGGGTTAGCAAATGCTACTTGCAGACCAGTCTCTTTGTGTTGTATATTTACAATTGTTTGTTCAAATTAATTTAAAAGTTGAAGTTGAGCTATAGTATGACATTATTTTGGTATTCATTTACATCAGAGTTACTCTAATGAAAATTTAATTGTAGTGCTGTTAGTCAGGTAAAATTTACCTGACTAACAGCACTACAATTACATTTACATTTAATGTTCTTTGCCATTTTAACTGTTTGGATAACCAATTATGCTGTTAAAACACTCTTCCTTGTGTTTGAGATGATAATGAAATTATTACTGCTCCTGTATATGTATGTGTTAGATTATCTTGAATTGTTGATGCCACATGTGAAGCTGATCATTCCTATTTCAAACAGTATCATTTCTCTCTTTTCTCAATGTGTTTGTAAATTTTCTCCATTTTCAGACAACACCAGTTTGCTATAAGAGCAACTCTCCTTAGCACTGAAGCACTCAAGTCACGTAATATCTTTTTGGACCCTGCGATGCAGTTCATGAGAATGACTGCTGAGGTAGATTATTGATTTACAGCTGACAAGACTCGAGCTCTGCCCATCCATTAATCTTAACATCATTTATGGTTTTTTGTGAGACGTCATGGAAGGGGCAGGGAAGATGAAAGATCTGGGGTAATGGAGAGGAGAAGTTGTTACGTCACACTGTCATGGTAGCAAAATCTCTGCATGACACCAAACCAAAAGTATCACATAAAGAGTGAATTTGCACTGTTTCAAACTTCATTGATCTTAATCAATTTCATTTAATTTGTCAAATTGTCTGGGCTTGAATCCAAGAGGGCTGTATCTAAGTTAAAAAAAAGAAAAAGAAAACGTTGGTGAACATTGTGTTTACCTACTCCATAAAGCGGTCGCTTGAAATTAGGAAGTTCCATGTCACAGTCATGCAACAATGGTTAAAATAATGAATGGCCACAAACCTCAACCTAAACCTTAAAATATCTATTTTTTCAGGATTCTGATCTTCTGTGTGCCCTTCTTCTGGAGCAAGCTGCCCACTGTTTTCTTCACACCAATCCTCCTATGATCCGCAAGTATGCTTTCAACATGATTTTAGCAGGTCATCGGTACAGCAAATCAGCCCAGGTACATACACAACTGAAGGGTGCTACCATTTGAGGTTATTATCGTGATCTTTTTGCGCTTACTACAGTCTATTTATTGTTTGCTATCCAACAGAGGAAGCATTCTTTGAGATGTTATCGTCAAGCTCTTTATGTTTACAATGAAAAGTCATGGCACCTTGCTGAGGTTTGTGTCTTATTATTATTAGCCTTTTTGTTTTCTACCTAAGTTTTTTTTTTCTAAGGAAACCTTTTACCGCGGCAGTCGGTAGAGCGCTTGACTGCAGAGCGGGAGGTCGCGGGTTCGATTCCCGGCGCTAACTGAGAAATGAAGGTACTTCCTTTGCCCTGCAAACGGTTAGACCTTCGCGTGGCTCGGATGACCACGTAAAAATAGTGTCCCTAATTAGTATTTTCGTGCTAAATACATTGGCACTCAAATAAAGTGCATTTTTTTTGTTAGCTCCATTCTAATTGATTACAAATCCTGGACTCATTTCGGGGCGCAAGAATTCTAGCAGAGCTTGGTGGCCTATGCCCAACATTAACTGTTGCACTCAGGCAACTAGAAAATCTTAGTTTTATTTTGTCAAACAAATCATATGCTAGGCACTTAAGATTTTACAGGTTCATTGCGTCAGGCTTACTTCTACTTTCCTTAGAAAGCAGCCGTACATTTAGTGAAATCTAGACTCACATTTAGGGCCTGTTTACATGAAGGTGGGGGACTCCAGGTAGGTGAGGTAACCCGCAGCGGGTCACGCCATCTATCATGTAAACGTGATCAAATTAAAATGAGAGATTATATGGACAGGAGGGTTACCCCACCTAAGCGGGTTACCTCACCTACCTGGGGCCCCCCACCTCCATGTAAACAGGCTCTACGTTGAAAAGTCCCGTGCGTGTATAGCATTTTTTTAACTTAATTTAAAAGCTGTTGGTGTTGGCCAAGTTTTGTAATTTTGCTGGCGTCTTCTCTTTGTAGGACCACATTAACTTCACGCTTGGCCGACAGTCATTTAACTTGCGTTTGTTGGAGGATGCACAAACATTCTTTAGACAACTTTTAGAGTATGAAAGCCTTCAAGTACCAGAGCAACAGGCTTCCTACCTCAGGGAATTTCTATTTGTTTTTAAGGTATTTATTGAAAGTTAGCAGTAGACTGCGCAAGGTATTAACGGAGGCTAGTTGGGGTTCAATTAGCCTCCTAAGCAGTCGTTTTTACGAGCTCTCCTAAAAACGCCTGCTTTGGACTATGCTAGGGTTCATTGAACTAAACTTGTACGAATGTACGTGTGAGATCACAACTTGGCTGACCCCCACCCTTCTCGCAGACTTATACAGCCTGAACAAAGACAGAAAAAACGCCTTTGGAAAGAGGCAGTAACGCGAGATTAATCTCGCTATCTGTACGGGCTATTTAACAGGCGGAGAACAAACACAGCGTTTACTCGTAGAAAATATGCAATACTAAGTTAACTACATTGTATAATCGATGGATCATCGCTTCTAGAAAATTTGCTTCAAAACGGCTATCTCTAAAAGCCGTTACATAATACAACAGGTTCAATGCTATCAAGATTTTGTGTAGGAAACGTCTTTTATTGGCGTCAACTGCTTTTTGTTTGTAGTGTTCAGGTATTCTAAGCACTTTCGTGTATACGTAGCAGCGTGTTGTGAGTTTAACAAATAGATTCCATGCTGCCGTGCGTCTGTTCAGTAATAGATCACAGATGACGTCAAAATGTCGTAAGTATTTTCAATTTAGGACGTCTTCTTTTTTTGAACTTGGACTCATTGGTTATGGACAGGGACTCATGATTTTTCACAAGATCAGTCCCAGGACTCACCATAACTATTTGTATTAAAATCACTGCAATTTCATCTCTTTCAGCAACTGAGTGATATGAAACCGAAGGAGAAATCACAAGTAGAAAGACTTTCTGTTTTACCATTGCCATTGATTGAGCAAGATTTAACAAGAGTAATACCTTGCTACCAACATGGATTGCTTCAAAGCAAACTTAGAGAAAGAAAGGTTATGAACAATACGCATGAATCAAAAGACAACTTTTTGAATCAAGTATTCACTGCGAAAGATGAACTAGAAAAAAATCATAACTGGACATTTATAGGACTTGCTTCTTTTGAGGACAACTTGGACCTTAAACTTGCGCAGCATTGGATTCAACTGGAACAAGAGACTTTTGAGAGTGTTAATATCACTCCTTTGCCTCCGTCTTTTCGTCCTCATATGCCATATCTCAGCTGCAAGACAGATAACACATCAAGACCTCTCTGTGTTGTTAGAGGTAAATGAAGTTTATTTGTTCCCTACCAAGTCAGCGAAAAGTTACTAGATAGTAAAACGTGTACTCTGGGGTTCTCCAACAGCTACGATAACTGGCCAAAATCGACGCTTAATCGCCAGAGACGCGCTGGCCAGTCTCAGATAACACTCACACTTTGTGGCCGGTTAAAGCGATGGAAATAATGAGAACTCACTTGAAGAAGGCGATGGTGACGAAAACGTCTTTATTAAAATGAATTCGTTTTTTTTTCCAAACTTCGTCATGATAATTAACAATTATTTCAAGTAGCGAATGAAGCTAATTTTAGAAAAGGAAAGCAAAGTTTATGTCCATCATAAAACGTTGCGCAAGGAAATTTTGCGTCAGAGTGAGATGCGTAAACAGAGTCGATTTTTTTGTTTATAAAATCCATTTGTTTTTTTTTTGGACGTTCTCACTGCCGTCGCTGTCACCGTCGTTACCAAAGCTCCCCACATTTTAGTCGAGGTGTGGTAGTGGCAAGTTAAAGTTTTTTTTATTTCAAGGGTTGGTATTTCCAGGCCACCATTCTCACATGTTTCGTCCTACAAATACTTTGCTTGCTGTACATTGTCATCCTCCAAGAACCAGTGACAAAATCAAACAAACATAAAATCTCACCTTTCAAAATACAGAAAGCAAATATTTCCATGCGACAGTGCAGTTTAATTTAAGCAAAACACTGCTGGTTTTTACCCACAGACAGGGAAGGGTAGGAAGAGTTTCTGTTCTGGGTATGACGCATTTACAGTGATAAGATTGTTTTGTTACTCCTGGCCTTACCATTCAAGTTGTGTTCGTGTTTCAGAAACTGTTGGAGTTGAAGTAGTTTTGAAAAACCCGTTAAAGATTCCACTTAACTTGACAAATCTGTTATTACTGTGGACATTCACCCCGGAAAATCAACAAGAAAGCATCTCCAACGAGGTTAGTAAAGCTCTGATTACGTACATGAAAACGCTCTCAAGTTTAAATCCCAAGGGGGAGCTGGCCACCCAACAATGAATTATCAACTACATGACGTAATATTAACTATATAGGCGCACGGTCACGTGATTACAAAAATCTCTTGGATGGGTAGATTACCAAATTTTCTTAGGTATGGGGCTACGCTTGCGCGTGGAGCTCCGCTACTATTCTTGGTTCGCAGTCACGGGACAAGGCAGCCGTGTTGGTTCACAAAACAGTACCAGTTTTTTCGCGCCAATTTGCGTGAAAAAAGAGTTTTAATTTCCAGGCCAGGGAAAGGCCTTTGTTCTTGTCAACCAACATGGCCGCGGTCGTGACGTCAGCTGAAAACCAGCAATATTAATTTGTGCTCTTGTCATTGAAGTTCTCTTCCAGGAATGAAGTTATTAAAACAGAAGTAATCAAGAGTTTTGACATCAATGGGACTGAGACAAAACCTGTAAGTAAATTTTACATCGATTTGAATGACATTTGAAGATAGAAAATTGTTATATGTGTGAATGTTCCGATGCATTTTGCGTCTACAAACCTTTTAGTCAAAAGTAACTGAGCAAGAAGATCAGTAGGTTTTCTCAGCGCAAAATTTAAATTCTGCCTGTAAACCCCAACATCAAAATTTCAATTCTCATTTTCATTCCTTTTCGTTTCTTGAAGAATCAATGGGGAGAAGTTTTTAAATTATCAATTCAATTCATCTTGTGTGATCATGTCTTCATATTCTCGTGACGACTCTGTTTTATGAATTAAGATGTCATTGGGAGAAATTTGATGTTAATTACTCTTGCGGCTTAAGGGTTAGGGTCAAAGAGAGACGCTTATTCGGGGTTGGATAAGTGATTAGGTTTCGTAAATTTACTTTGCACAAATAATCCCTTGGAATACAGGCAACACTGTGAGAAGGAGGATACCTCTCTTTTGCACTCACTGTTTGCAAAATGAACTTTCTGTCACTGTTTAACTTTTAATAACAAGTTATACACATGAAGGCGTTGTTTGATGCAGGCTCGTCTTATACAGTTCTAGACAGGTCGTCTTTGCACACTCTGTCTGTTTGCAAAATGAACTTCCTGTCCTTGTTTAACCCTTTAAGTCCCAATAGTGACCGACAGCAATTTTCTCCTAACGATGTCCATACATTGTCAAGAGATAAAGTTATGAGAATTAGTAAAATGATCACCAAAGAGAAAATGCCTTGATTTTTTATCAAATTCTCTCAACTAATTCTTAAAGAAAATGTATGGAGATCAGTTTGGAGAATTTGCATGTGGATGTTGGTGCTTAAAGGGTTAACTTTTAATAACAAGTTATTTACATGAAGGCGTTGTTTGATACAGGCCCGTCTTACACTCATACCGTACCAGACTGGTCGTCTTCACATCACAGGAATAAAATACAGTTTGAGTAGTGTGGCTATCAATGGACCTATTGAAGAAAAATTCTCCACATCTACTGCCTCAAATTCAGCTATGGCCGCCGTCAGTATTTTGGGTAAAAACGACTTGGTAGTGAAGGGCCAGAGAATGAATAACACCAAAGCGGAGAAGACTAGTGTTATTTATGGAAAGGACTATCGTCTTAACTTGGAAGTGGTGTCGGCAATGCCTTTACTTGAGGTGTGTACTGACGCTTTTAGTAGAACAGTACTGCTAAAATATAGATTAGAGATTATTACTTTATTTGACTAATTGCCAACAACAAACGCAACCCACAGATGGATTCGCCTTCGAGATTCAAACCGGGGCCATATTGGTGGGAGACAAGGAGTCTCAACAGTGCCCCATCCACCCTTGCTACCCAAAAGAACCCGCCTTGGTAACGGTAATTCATTTTTTTGGCTAACAGCAGGCAAGGAAGATTTACACTTAGAGCGTACAGCTGTAAGCAACATTTGATTAATTGTTGAGACCATTTATGTTATAAACGAGCCTTTAAACTTATAATCGATCGCTAAGTCCATATGGCGTTCACCGCAGGTTCGCTTTGCTGGATTTCCAAGCCATCTTCTGTGTAACGAAGTGGTGCAAACTGTGGCAGAGTTCACAAATTGCAGTGATTGCCACCTCGAGAAACTCTACATCACTACGCCCAACCCAGAATTCTTTACTTTTGGGCGAGCACCATTATCAGCGGGTGAAACTACAACAGTGAGCGATGGTAAAAGTGACTCAATAGTGGATGATATCACTCGAGTCTCCGAAGTTCCCATCCCGGAGGGAGGTCTTCCCCCAGGGAGTTCTACCAAACTACCGGTCTGGGTTCATGGTCACAAGAAGCCTGGCAGATTTAAGCGCGAGGTGCTGTTTTACTATGTGCCTCCAGAGAATACGTCTCTACTGAGGTGAGGTGTACCTTAATTTATCATGGTATTTTATCCTTAGTTGTTATTTTCAACAATAAATAAGTTGCGCTGGAATCTCTTGTAAGGATTCAGGCTGTCAGCTTCGAAAAGTCGCTACCTGTAAAGAGCGCAGGCATCCCAAGCAGAAAATGCAAGTGCTGATGTGAACTTAGCCTGAGTAAACAGCCGACACTTCGCGACGCCACCAGTGGTTTTCCCGCGAAATGACGTCTGAGAAACGAGCGAAGAAATTCCATACTGATGACGCGTTACTACCCGGAAGTGGCTTGTGCTTCTGATTGGTCGATTCGAAGCTAATGTTTAGCCAATCAGAAGCACTACACACTGCGCTCGTTTCTCAGACGTCACCTCGCAGGGAAAGCAGTAGTGGCGTCTCAGGCTAAGGCTCGATTGCCACTGCTGTTCAGGATTTGAGCCTGCGCTCCTCCCCTCTCTGTTCGAGGAGGAATAAGACCCGACCAAACAGAGCAAACGTTAGATTCACGTTGAGAAATTCTCAAAGTAGAAAATGATTTGATAAAAGCAGCTTAGAACAATTCTTATGGATAAAACCGGTGAGAGAGACTAGCATAATGTGTTTAACAACTTAATAAGACGGGCCGGGGGACTTCAACATAATCATCTTCTGACCGCAAGAAATTTAATGATAATTCCTTTATCTTTTTACCAAAAGCACGATCGCTTAAGCATTTTAATCGAATAAGGAATTGAGTTCCAAATTTGAGAACCGGTTCGTGTGGTTTCTTCGATCGGTAAACGACAACTGAAGGAAAACTTAGTCACGTGGTACAAATTTACGTTTGTTGTTTGCCGTGAGCGTGACTCTAAATCTCTCTAATATGACCTCTATATCAATGTTGTGATTAGGGTTTTCTTCTGCAATTGAATACGTTCAACTCTATTTTAACAGTTTCCTCTATGAGATAAACACTAACTTCCTTAAAACGGACTGCAACAAGACTCGGTCCGTGCCATGCTTTAGTTAGTTTCTACGACCCTCAACTAGGCTGACAGAGTCGTGCCGGCCCTAACAGTGTGAGTTTTGGTGAAACTCTCGGTGTCGATCGCTAACTAATTTACGGTTTAATTTTCTAGATATCGAGTACTTCAACATGCTTTCAATGTCACCACAAATAGTTCTGTTGGTGTGCATGCCACTGCAAGACGGAACAGACATTCGGCTCTATCGCAGAGGTATGTTTATGTTACAAACGTAATGTATGTAATGAGTCATTGCACTCTTTGATTGTTGAGGAAACACGTCGCAGAGCGTTTTATACCCATTTTGTTCAAGTTCATGGTATATTTTGTCTTTTTTCGTTTTTCCCCTTGTATTTTAGTGTTTCCAGCTATCTTTTTATTAAAAATTTAATTTTTGCACGTCTTCAATGCATTGTAGGTATTAAAATTCTAGTTGGCAGGGTAAGCTAAGCTACAGTGAGAAACAGATAATGTTTCAACGGCGAATCTTCCTGAACAGTAAAGAGGTCTAAATAATGCTAAATTTCATGTTTATTATTCTGCAGTTCCGAGGATCGAAAGTAAAGCTAAACTTCGTGTTCATTATTTCGTAGTTCCGAGGATCAAAATCAGCTCATTGTGGCACTGGATGTTGAAAGTCTTGTTAGGGTTAGTGAACTTTTTACCATTTTCTCGTCAACATGAACTAAAAGATTGATACTTCTGGGCCAAACATAGGAAAACCTGTATTCATTGGACCCTAATTTAAACAGACACTGTGTATTGAGGGACAGATGGTGATAGCCTTCGTGGGAGTAACAAATTTGGAAGAAGGAGGGGGGGGGGAGGGAGCGGAGGGAGGGGTAGGGAGAAAAATGGTGAAAGGGAAAAGGGACTTGGTCCCTTCTCTTGTCTCCCCAGCCCCCCTACCCACCCCTTTCCCCTTCCTATCCCTTGTGACGCCTTCCGTTTAAGCTGCTGGCGAAGGCTGTGTGAGTATCCGCATAATCCAGGTTTCGCTTGACGCCTCTTGTACTCACAAAAAACGTGCAGTATACGGAGGTGTTGTCGGGGAATTTTTCTTTCTCTTAGAATGGACTGAAATATGAGAAAACCCTCTGTAGTCATAGATAAACACAAAGGAAATACAGCAGAGCCTTAAAGGGAACCTAGATGGACAACCATTTAGCAGATTCAAACGGACTGTATTCGGATAAACTTCAAAAGCATCCACCCGCTCCTTTTCAAGTTTGCAAACAAAGTCAGCTTGAACATCACGACATTGCTCTTTTGACCGACTCCTACACTGGACCCCTTTCATTTAAATTGTACTACTTTTTCTCCTTGGTCTTTTGGTTACATATACTGGCCGCTTTAACTCTGAGTTCCGAGATGACCTAGTATATCGAAATTTAGCCGATAGGAATTTGTGCAAATCTCCGTGTGTTTTCAATTTTTAGAAGAACGTTCACAGTATCCCCCTATGGGAAACATTCCCAAAACGTTTGGTATGGAGTACGTTATGTTGATTTGCTTGTTCATTGAACTTTGTTTTGTTTACAATGCAGGGGGATGTTGCCAGAAAACACATTGAATTTTCTGTGGTTCAAGTTTCTTGTGCAAGCAGAAAATGGATTCTGCAGCCCCTGAGTCACCATAAAACTGGTACTTTTCATTTTTCATTTTGTCCTTTTGTACTTAGGCTTCTGACTAGCAGTTTTCAAAAAAAAAAAAAAAGAGAATGATCAGTTACTCTCCGGTCCCCTCGCCAGGGGCCCGTGGTAGCAAGAGAGAATAACAGGCAGAGAGGGAAACGCCCAGTGTAGCCCTTTGATTTGTGAATTTCACCAAAGTTATTTTTAGACCAAATAGACGCTTAAAATTAATCGGAAACTGGTTTCTAGGGAGGCCGGCAAACGTTTATTCAAGTTTGTTAAGAGCGAATTCAACAGTCGCCATTACAATATTCTGCATTGTTTGTTTTGGGGCAGTCACACGTTTCAAACGACCAATAAAAATGTGCGGACGTCTCAGGAATTCCTCCTTTTAATTACAACCTCTAAAATTACTTTACTGAAATTCACATATCCCGGCCAACACCCCAAGATTCCCTCATTATTCTCTCTTGGTGATAATTGATGTAGCATTCCAAGAAACGTAGTCTCTCCATTCTTATCATCATTTTGGTCGAGCAAGTCTGGGTTTCTCCACAAATGAAAAACACCTATTTTTCAGTATCACATCCTTTTCGTTATTTTCTTGCGAAGAATGAAAGACATGTATGATGTTGTACCAATGACTGTTAATGCACTTGTTCAGTTGATCAATGTAGATGGCCAGTGTCCTCCTCAGACTAACGTTGGTGTGCTCTTTTCTGTTCACAGATGGTGCAATTAAAGTCAGATATGGCGAAACCGTCATGGTCCAATTTAAAGCAACAAAACGGCAAGGTAAAGAGCCCTTTTTTTTGGTATGGGGTGATTTTCTCACGAACCCAATAAATACGAAATCCAAAGTGAAAAGTTTCATTAGAAAAGAAGTAAAAGCTGCGATGCTTACTACATGTATAATGCCACTTTGGGACCTTCATCACACCTAATTTTTAAACATTCTTTGTTTGTCTAAACAGGTGAATGCAGTTCCACGGCTGAACTTCATTTTAGTCACGTGTGCTTCGTGGAAAGTGAGGTAAGCTGGAGGCAGCGTGGCCGAGTGGTCAACGCGCGGGACTCACAATCCAACGGTCCCGGGTTCGAGTCCCGCTCCCTCCCATCACGCTTGATTTGTTTTTCGGTGTCCCCAATTCAAATCCTCGGTCATTCTTGTAAGTAGCTAACTAAGTGTCTCCTGCTAATTGCGGTTTTTTTTAATCCTGTTATGTTTTATTTGGATATTTGTTGCGCGAATTTGTACCCTTTATCAAGTTTCCCCTTTACTTGTCGTTTACTGTTCATTATTTTTTGTACACCTAAATTAGTAGTTTCACGCAATATTTTTATCCATAACAGTTGTTTTTAGCTGTTTTTATCCGCTTATTTTTTATTTTGAGAAATTCACAACTCGAATCTGACGTTTGCCGTTCGCCGTATACGTGAAGATTAGACTCTCTAGTAGCCTGAAACTAAGTGCACTTCCACTATAAACAAATCTTTCCCTTTACCTTTCATTTTGATTTTTTTACGTTTTTATTTGCTTCTTACACACATAGCAACGTAAATACAAAAGAAATGCACTTAAATGCAAAAGAAACAAACAAACAAAATCATTAAGAGGAAAGAAGATTAATTAATATATTACTAGTAAAGTTGCTGGTAGCGTAAGTAATTTTTTTTCGTCTTTTGGAAGACATTTACCTTTTACGGTCATGGCGGTAACCCTGTGCACACTTAAATGGTTTTGCTGTAAGGTAATAAGTGACATTATAAGTGTATTTTTTTGTTGTAGATTCCTGCTTCATCTTCGCCTGCTGTGGACTTTTTCTTCAGATCAGATTCTTGGCAAGAGCAGAAAAAACTTTCACAGACCAAAGAAGCTGGGAGCGTCGATGATGCCTCACAAGTGGATATCGGTTTAATTGTTTTTTGGCAGGTAACTTGAGTCCTAAGTTCTCCTTGGCTTCTAGATAACAAACTGTGTTCTTCAGTTGCTCCGCATAAATGACTATAATTGAGTTATGTTGTGCATTAATTTTAGTGGTCAATAAGGTGTGCATTGTACAATTCTCACTTTATGTTTCAGTTTCATTACAGACCTTTAGATTTGAGGACGAGATTTAACTTACAAGTTTCTTTTCGTTTTCTCGAAAAACATATACACCTCGTAAAGCTTCATTGTCCTCTTTGTTATCAGAAATATTAGCACGGTTACTTTTATTGAAGGAGTTTAAGCGCTCTCCCGGTCGCAAAATAATAAGACCTCTAACTGTTGTTGTTCCCGCCACAACGAAGTTCTTGCTAAAACTCGTAATAAAATGACGACGGCTATCACGTTTTCCCGCCAAAATGACGCTTGTTCACCCGTCCGCACTACTTAGTATTGAGAAAATTTCGTACTCGTAGTCGTCCTTGTCTTAGAGTCTAAAGATCTCCATTTTCCCTTCTTGACCAGACGTCTTACATAGACAAGGATTTCCAGCAGCAAATTGTTAATGGTCAGAGCCATGTCAACATCAGTAGATTGGCGGAAACTGTTTCAGCTTTGACACAGGCTCAGGTAAGAAAATAACTCCTTGCGTTTATATACTTTTGAATTTGACTTGGGTCATATTTCTCTTGAGGACTACTTGAAGAGCACAGAACTAAAATCTCCTCTTGTGACGAAAGGCGGCGCGTCGAAATGTGGATAAATCTTTATAATCGTGGTCTGTAAACTACGTAGCTCTCTCCCTCTGAGTATTCTTTGCCTTTGTGTCTATGGTTGTGTGTGTTTTGTTTCTGTTGCTGCTTGCTTTTGTGCCTTGATTCACCCTTTCAACATTCTGATCATTCAGTGACGCTGACAAGCCATTGTTCTTAGGTGTCTTTTCAGGTACAGCCCACCGAACCAGTTTCGAATGAAACAGTGTCACCCAGTGGCTTGAACAACCAAGAATTACTTGTTAAATATTCGCTCCGTCATCCCGCGTCACTGCAAGTGGACTTTAGCACCAGCAGGTAATTTTAAAGGCCAGAGTTTGTCCACGTGGAAGGTGTTGAATGACTAAATACCTCGAAACGTTTTGTTTTAAATACCAAATAAACATCACTATAAATATATGGTGAGTAGTGCAATGCTTCTTCTGTTTGGACAAGTGACCCTTTCACCCTAAAACGTTTGATAATGCGGTGCTTTTTTGTACTTCCAAAGCCATGTTTCGAACTGACAAAAATTTATCGGTCCTTTTTGATCATTATTAAGAGGAAATTGGGAACTTATTATTTTATTGCATTTTTACCGACAAATCCTTGGTGGCTACGTTCAAAAGTTTATCCTGCACCTGAGTTTTACCTGTAATGTGATGTTGTTGTTGTTTTTTTGTTTTCAGATTGGCACGTCTTTCAGTGGAACTCTTGTTGCATAACTGCTGCTCAAAACCTGTTGATGTGTTTGTGGAATTGTTTTCCAGGTTGCGCATTTTAATTCTCTATTGTTTTTAGGGCTAACATTATCTTGAGAGCCTTTTCCTTCAACTTGGCGACCAGAGAAAGCCTTGAAACAAGCTCTTATACTTTTTACACTGGAATCTGAATGACATGCCTTGACATGTTGCTCATTCCCAATCAAAGAACCTCGTCATTTTGCCGTCCCCAAGTTTTGTACCCCCTCTCCCCCCTCCCCACTTCTGCCTTCCCTTACCCAAACCCCTAGTCATACGACCTTGATCCGTAGGAATCCCTTGCGGCATGACGGTATGTATCAAAATTTGCTGTCTTGAATAAAATCCCATGAAATTCCCTCGGACCCCGCTGGAGGCGTTTGAACACGATGTAAAAACACACATGCCACATGTTTTCCTGTTACTTTCAAACAAGTTGTCCCTTTGAGTTCCTTACATCTCTGGCTTCTTTCTAGTGTTGGAAACTCGACTGCAGTCTTAGAAGATAAACCTACCGACGCCCAAGACAACTTCTTTTCATTCGACACGGATTCCAGTCCTGCATCAAAATCGTCTCCCACTTCCCTTACTTGGATTGGGCAAACCTCAAGGAGATTTCACTTGCCCTCAAGCGGATCTTCGTCGTTGGTATTCCGCGCTCTAGTTACTCTTCCGGGCGTTTATAACATGAACAATTTTCGCGTCCTCGCGAAGCTATCCGAAGAACTTGAACCTGGGGGCAGTATGGTTCTTCAAAAGCCTTGTCCGCCCAGCTTTGTGGTTGTGGAGAACACTTCATGACCTCTGTGGAGAAGAAAAAATTACATTGCTTAAGATGTTTTATGAACCAATTTTCTAGTAATTTTGAGAGTACTATAGCCATCAATATCGTTAATCTGAAACAATAGACTACATTTTACCCCCCCAAACCCTGTTTCAGCGAACAACCGATTTATTCGTCTTTAGTTTCCTTGTGTTAGTATTAACTCATAGGCGACAAGAACTTGAAATTTTTTGTAACGAATATTTCGTAACCTCGGTTGATCGTCCCAACCTTTGACGTTTCGATATCCGATCGCGTGATCTTAACCGCTAAAGCGGTTTGCTTTAGTTGCCTTTTAAGACTGCGCAAATAAAATCGTCGGGTCCGATCAGTTTTGCACCTGTCAATACTAAGCTTGCCACTCTGGCAAAATTTCCGGACATTTTGGTCCAAGTATGAATGCTCTGTCACAGGTGGCTGTTTTCCGGAAAAAGTGAGCCACTTCTAAAAGTGGTCGACCTGTTAGCGCGGTTGGACAGAAACTTACGGTTCCTTTTTTTAGAATTATTGTTTCCAGTTGCACCTCAACGAAAAGTTACCAAATTTCGGTTGAGGGGTAAATGGAATGCTTTGGTCTCGTTAGAACACAGTGTTTCGATCGTACAATGTTTGTGTCGATTTGTTACTTAGGTTAGACCCAATGGACTTTAGACCGGTCGATTTGAGTGTAACTGTACTGTAGGTCCTACTGGATAGTAGTCGAGACCTTCAGATTCAAGGAAGAGGGCGATAAAGACGAGATTTAACTTTACGTTTTTTCGTTTTGTCTTAAAAAATAGATACACCGGAAAGCTTCCTTGTACTTTGTTGCACCAGAGAGTTGACACCGTTATTTTTAGTGACGGAGGTTAAGCCCTCCCTCGATCGCAAACAGTTCTAACATTTCATGACTTGTTTCCAAGTCTACGACATATTAAAATGCGTAGTAGAATGATGACGGCTACCACCGTATTTTCCCGCCATAATCACGCTTATTTACGCGTGATCACTTCTTAGTATTGCGAAAATCTCGTACTCGCAGTCGTACTCGTCTTTGAATCTAAAGATCTCAAGAGTGTTCTGTGCCAAGGCAAGGTCCCAGTTTAAAAACGCTTGTACGGAGCCAGACAGGGTTACACACGTGGATCTTGCACTTGGCTTAGTGTTCTTCTCTCAGATTAACTATCATCATGGGTAATTTTTTCAGGTAAGATTTCACAAAATCACAAAACTGTAAATAAAAAAGAAGAAAGTATAAGCTGTTAAGTGATTGAGCTCGCAATCAGTAAATCCAGGAAAAAAATTAATCGCTCGTAATGTGCTGGTGACTGAAATCAAAGCGTATAGCGAGACTTTTTATGACATTGTCCATAGTTAGGTAAAAAAGTATTTTTAATGAAACAGTATATGTTGTTGTCTTTTCACCAGTGTTCAATACGAATTGGATTTGCTCTTGAATCCTTGTGTTCAAGTATAGTTTATTGTTTAAGACTGTCAGCAATCTCTTTTTAGTTGATCAGTGATCTTTGGGACCTTCATCACACCTAATTTTTAAACATTCTTTGTTTGTCTAAACAGGTGAATGCAGTTCCACGGCTGAACTTCATTTTAGTCACGTGTGCTTCGTGGAAAGTGAGGTAAGCTGGAGGCAGCGTGGCCGAGTGGTCAACGCGCGGGACTCACAATCCAACGGTCCCGGGTTCGAGTCCCGCTCCCTCCCATCACGCTTGATTTGTTTTTCGGTGTCCCCAATTCAAATCCTCGGTCATTCTTGTAAGTAGCTAACTAAGTGTCTCCTGCTAATTGCGGTTTTTTTTAATCCTGTTATGTTTTATTTGGATATTTGTTGCGCGAATTTGTACCCTTTATCAAGTTTCCCCTTTACTTGTCGTTTACTGTTCATTATTTTTTGTACACCTAAATTAGTAGTTTCACGCAATATTTTTATCCATAACAGTTGTTTTTAGCTGTTTTTATCCGCTTATTTTTTATTTTGAGAAATTCACAACTCGAATCTGACGTTTGCCGTTCGCCGTATACGTGAAGATTAGACTCTCTAGTAGCCTGAAACTAAGTGCACTTCCACTATAAACAAATCTTTCCCTTTACCTTTCATTTTGATTTTTTTACGTTTTTATTTGCTTCTTACACACATAGCAACGTAAATACAAAAGAAATGCACTTAAATGCAAAAGAAACAAACAAACAAAATCATTAAGAGGAAAGAAGATTAATTAATATATTACTAGTAAAGTTGCTGGTAGCGTAAGTAATTTTTTTTCGTCTTTTGGAAGACATTTACCTTTTACGGTCATGGCGGTAACCCTGTGCACACTTAAATGGTTTTGCTGTAAGGTAATAAGTGACATTATAAGTGTATTTTTTTGTTGTAGATTCCTGCTTCATCTTCGCCTGCTGTGGACTTTTTCTTCAGATCAGATTCTTGGCAAGAGCAGAAAAAACTTTCACAGACCAAAGAAGCTGGGAGCGTCGATGATGCCTCACAAGTGGATATCGGTTTAATTGTTTTTTGGCAGGTAACTTGAGTCCTAAGTTCTCCTTGGCTTCTAGATAACAAACTGTGTTCTTCAGTTGCTCCGCATAAATGACTATAATTGAGTTATGTTGTGCATTAATTTTAGTGGTCAATAAGGTGTGCATTGTACAATTCTCACTTTATGTTTCAGTTTCATTACAGACCTTTAGATTTGAGGACGAGATTTAACTTACAAGTTTCTTTTCGTTTTCTCGAAAAACATATACACCTCGTAAAGCTTCATTGTCCTCTTTGTTATCAGAAATATTAGCACGGTTACTTTTATTGAAGGAGTTTAAGCGCTCTCCCGGTCGCAAAATAATAAGACCTCTAACTGTTGTTGTTCCCGCCACAACGAAGTTCTTGCTAAAACTCGTAATAAAATGACGACGGCTATCACGTTTTCCCGCCAAAATGACGCTTGTTCACCCGTCCGCACTACTTAGTATTGAGAAAATTTCGTACTCGTAGTCGTCCTTGTCTTAGAGTCTAAAGATCTCCATTTTCCCTTCTTGACCAGACGTCTTACATAGACAAGGATTTCCAGCAGCAAATTGTTAATGGTCAGAGCCATGTCAACATCAGTAGATTGGCGGAAACTGTTTCAGCTTTGACACAGGCTCAGGTAAGAAAATAACTCCTTGCGTTTATATACTTTTGAATTTGACTTGGGTCATATTTCTCTTGAGGACTACTTGAAGAGCACAGAACTAAAATCTCCTCTTGTGACGAAAGGCGGCGCGTCGAAATGTGGATAAATCTTTATAATCGTGGTCTGTAAACTACGTAGCTCTCTCCCTCTGAGTATTCTTTGCCTTTGTGTCTATGGTTGTGTGTGTTTTGTTTCTGTTGCTGCTTGCTTTTGTGCCTTGATTCACCCTTTCAACATTCTGATCATTCAGTGACGCTGACAAGCCATTGTTCTTAGGTGTCTTTTCAGGTACAGCCCACCGAACCAGTTTCGAATGAAACAGTGTCACCCAGTGGCTTGAACAACCAAGAATTACTTGTTAAATATTCGCTCCGTCATCCCGCGTCACTGCAAGTGGACTTTAGCACCAGCAGGTAATTTTAAAGGCCAGAGTTTGTCCACGTGGAAGGTGTTGAATGACTAAATACCTCGAAACGTTTTGTTTTAAATACCAAATAAACATCACTATAAATATATGGTGAGTAGTGCAATGCTTCTTCTGTTTGGACAAGTGACCCTTTCACCCTAAAACGTTTGATAATGCGGTGCTTTTTTGTACTTCCAAAGCCATGTTTCGAACTGACAAAAATTTATCGGTCCTTTTTGATCATTATTAAGAGGAAATTGGGAACTTATTATTTTATTGCATTTTTACCGACAAATCCTTGGTGGCTACGTTCAAAAGTTTATCCTGCACCTGAGTTTTACCTGTAATGTGATGTTGTTGTTGTTTTTTTGTTTTCAGATTGGCACGTCTTTCAGTGGAACTCTTGTTGCATAACTGCTGCTCAAAACCTGTTGATGTGTTTGTGGAATTGTTTTCCAGGTTGCGCATTTTAATTCTCTATTGTTTTTAGGGCTAACATTATCTTGAGAGCCTTTTCCTTCAACTTGGCGACCAGAGAAAGCCTTGAAACAAGCTCTTATACTTTTTACACTGGAATCTGAATGACATGCCTTGACATGTTGCTCATTCCCAATCAAAGAACCTCGTCATTTTGCCGTCCCCAAGTTTTGTACCCCCTCTCCCCCCTCCCCACTTCTGCCTTCCCTTACCCAAACCCCTAGTCATACGACCTTGATCCGTAGGAATCCCTTGCGGCATGACGGTATGTATCAAAATTTGCTGTCTTGAATAAAATCCCATGAAATTCCCTCGGACCCCGCTGGAGGCGTTTGAACACGATGTAAAAACACACATGCCACATGTTTTCCTGTTACTTTCAAACAAGTTGTCCCTTTGAGTTCCTTACATCTCTGGCTTCTTTCTAGTGTTGGAAACTCGACTGCAGTCTTAGAAGATAAACCTACCGACGCCCAAGACAACTTCTTTTCATTCGACACGGATTCCAGTCCTGCATCAAAATCGTCTCCCACTTCCCTTACTTGGATTGGGCAAACCTCAAGGAGATTTCACTTGCCCTCAAGCGGATCTTCGTCGTTGGTATTCCGCGCTCTAGTTACTCTTCCGGGCGTTTATAACATGAACAATTTTCGCGTCCTCGCGAAGCTATCCGAAGAACTTGAACCTGGGGGCAGTATGGTTCTTCAAAAGCCTTGTCCGCCCAGCTTTGTGGTTGTGGAGAACACTTCATGACCTCTGTGGAGAAGAAAAAATTACATTGCTTAAGATGTTTTATGAACCAATTTTCTAGTAATTTTGAGAGTACTATAGCCATCAATATCGTTAATCTGAAACAATAGACTACATTTTACCCCCCCAAACCCTGTTTCAGCGAACAACCGATTTATTCGTCTTTAGTTTCCTTGTGTTAGTATTAACTCATAGGCGACAAGAACTTGAAATTTTTTGTAACGAATATTTCGTAACCTCGGTTGATCGTCCCAACCTTTGACGTTTCGATATCCGATCGCGTGATCTTAACCGCTAAAGCGGTTTGCTTTAGTTGCCTTTTAAGACTGCGCAAATAAAATCGTCGGGTCCGATCAGTTTTGCACCTGTCAATACTAAGCTTGCCACTCTGGCAAAATTTCCGGACATTTTGGTCCAAGTATGAATGCTCTGTCACAGGTGGCTGTTTTCCGGAAAAAGTGAGCCACTTCTAAAAGTGGTCGACCTGTTAGCGCGGTTGGACAGAAACTTACGGTTCCTTTTTTTAGAATTATTGTTTCCAGTTGCACCTCAACGAAAAGTTACCAAATTTCGGTTGAGGGGTAAATGGAATGCTTTGGTCTCGTTAGAACACAGTGTTTCGATCGTACAATGTTTGTGTCGATTTGTTACTTAGGTTAGACCCAATGGACTTTAGACCGGTCGATTTGAGTGTAACTGTACTGTAGGTCCTACTGGATAGTAGTCGAGACCTTCAGATTCAAGGAAGAGGGCGATAAAGACGAGATTTAACTTTACGTTTTTTCGTTTTGTCTTAAAAAATAGATACACCGGAAAGCTTCCTTGTACTTTGTTGCACCAGAGAGTTGACACCGTTATTTTTAGTGACGGAGGTTAAGCCCTCCCTCGATCGCAAACAGTTCTAACATTTCATGACTTGTTTCCAAGTCTACGACATATTAAAATGCGTAGTAGAATGATGACGGCTACCACCGTATTTTCCCGCCATAATCACGCTTATTTACGCGTGATCACTTCTTAGTATTGCGAAAATCTCGTACTCGCAGTCGTACTCGTCTTTGAATCTAAAGATCTCAAGAGTGTTCTGTGCCAAGGCAAGGTCCCAGTTTAAAAACGCTTGTACGGAGCCAGACAGGGTTACACACGTGGATCTTGCACTTGGCTTAGTGTTCTTCTCTCAGATTAACTATCATCATGGGTAATTTTTTCAGGTAAGATTTCACAAAATCACAAAACTGTAAATAAAAAAGAAGAAAGTATAAGCTGTTAAGTGATTGAGCTCGCAATCAGTAAATCCAGGAAAAAAATTAATCGCTCGTAATGTGCTGGTGACTGAAATCAAAGCGTATAGCGAGACTTTTTATGACATTGTCCATAGTTAGGTAAAAAAGTATTTTTAATGAAACAGTATATGTTGTTGTCTTTTCACCAGTGTTCAATACGAATTGGATTTGCTCTTGAATCCTTGTGTTCAAGTATAGTTTATTGTTTAAGACTGTCAGCAATCTCTTTTTAGTTGATCAGTGAGACAATGGAGGGACGGGAGGGACTGGGCCGAGAACGGGTAGAAAAGAAACTGGGAAGACCCGGCCGAGTTTTTCTCGTTTGCGAGCTCGTAACCTTCTTCCTCGCGCGATAATCTAAGAGACAGCTAGCAGTTTTATCCACTGTTGTCTTCAACGTTTAGTACTGTGGCTCGAAGCTACTTAATAAAACTTCCTCAGTTCTACAATGTGGTTTGTTTGTAATGGCTTTAAGAGACTCCTGAGATCTTTTAAACATTAATGCACCTTTCCTGTTGGTTTGAACAGGTTATTATTTTCAATAAATGGAAGGGCAGGTCACTGATGTGGAACAGGAGGTTATTATTACGAATAATAACCTACTGTTCCATTTCAGTGGCCACAATAATGACCTTCTGGTTCTAAAACAATGGAATGGTGCCGCTCCTCGGCCTTATAAAAATAATGACCAAAAAGGTCTCGGACCTCAGGCATCATCCTACATATAATTTCAGTTTTTTTTCTTGAATTACAAAGTAAAACTCATTTCCGGTGTTGTTGAGTACATTTATGTACATGTAGTGATAGTCGGCTATTCAGTTTCGTTGTTTTGTTTCTTTTGTTTTACGTAAGTTTGTGCAAGTACATGCCGAGGAAACCCTATTGGTAGAATTTTGAATAGTCAGCCGAGTATTTTTTACAAGTAGGGCGTAAGGGGGATCTCAAACCCCAAATTCGCATAGAATAGCGTAAAAATAAAAGAATAAGAAATAAAACTTTTAATACTGATGTCTTGGTCTAGTACTGAACCAAACTCAACTTTCGCCTCATACATGTATAAGGAAATCCTGATCCCGAATTCCGGATCCCTTTAATGATTGTAATCCGGAATCCAGTTTTCATTGACAAGGAATCCACAGCGTAAAATTCAGGATCCAAGACTGTCGTGGATTACATTACTGCATCATTATACTTTTCGGGGAAACTGCCCACCTATCCCTCCCCTAAGCCAACATTAACAATTACTTTACACTTAGACCAAAATGTTGGCTTAGGGGAGGGGTAGGTGGGCAGTCTCCTACAACAGGTAAACGTCTCTGGTTTCTTAGTAGTGTGCAGCCTCGTGATATGCTCGCCCGCGAAAAAAATTACTAGCAGCCAAAACGACCATGGTTTCCATGGAAACAAGGCTAATACAACGAAGGGCTCCCATTAGACAGAAGATGAGCCTAGGCGCAGACCAGATGTATCACTGAAAACGTCCGTAGGTTGTACGCTTGCCCCTGTCCCTCTAGTCCTTAGACCTCAGAATTCCGCGCGGCCTATGCGATTCGGGTCACATTGTCCAAGCGAGCGTTTGACACGGCATTAGGGACTTTAAGATCCAACGACGCGACGGCAACGAGAAAGTCGCTTAAAAAGTGAATTTGAGTTTTTTCAGTCTTTATCGCGATTATTTCTAGTTAGGATACTTTGTCAAATGAAGGCGAACCTTCCTGAAGTGGAATTCCAAGGGACCTTATCCAAGTTCAGAAAGAGAAATAAAATTTTGTTGTTGCTTGTTTACGTTCTCCATTGAACGCGAAATTAGGCATCTTCACGTCGCAGTCGCGCAAAAACGGCAAAAAAATGTACAAAATTGTGTGATACACGAGCAAAGTTGTTGTTCTGCTTATTAAACCTATCGTTTTTTCACGTTCTCGTTGCGGTCGCGTCGTGGGCGGGTGTTAGCTTGGTATCGGGTAGCGGGTGGCGAGTGGCGAGTGACGAGGGCCGTGCGGGGAGTGGCGGTTGGCGAGGTTCTTATTATATCAACGGGAGTTTGACTAATAGTCGCGGGTCGCGGGTCGCGGGTGCAAAGTCGCGGTCGCGGGTCCAATGTCGCGGTCGCGGGTCCAAAGTCGCGGTCGCGGGTCCAATGTCGCGGCAGGGGAAAATGATTTGGAGTTCGAGGTAACTGAGTGAAAACAAGTGATATGAAAAAAATATAAAGGGCAAAAAATCGTTTTTATGCATGATACTCTGCGGTAGCCAATTTACAGGTTATGGATGTTGGAGACAACAAAATAATGTCTCAAGAAAAGACCTAAAAGAAAAAGCTGGCCGACTTTTGTGTTCACCGCAAAGTTCATTTTGTTTTCTTTCTATCGGGCCCAGTTATGTATGAATTCAGCTTTGAATGTATACTTATGCATGACAGTATCTGATAAAAAATGTTACCATGAGTTACCATTGTTTTCTTCTTGTCTATGAATTGCTCACAAATTCTTAGGGGTGCATTCACTGAAAAATGTGCGATACACTTCACAGAGTATAAATTATAAACGTTACAACAACTTAAAACCCTTTTTAAAAAATGCTAACTCGGGCTCGAAAAGCTACGAGTCTGTCGGTAGAAGAAACGAGAACTGTTTCAATTTTAACAACTGTTTTCGGCAAAAATAAAGAAAACGCTTGTGGAAAAACTTCCTGGCCGCAAACTCCCAAAATAAACTCTTTGCACAAGTAACTGGAAAGAGGAGGAGAGACGTTGGGCTTGAAGTGTCAGTAAAGTACATTCAAGTGGGTATTCAAGGCATGAATTTAATATAGAAACAAGTAATAATCCACAGCAAGAGGGGATAAAGCTCGAGATTTATCCTCTCTTGTCCACAGATAGGAGTTTGTTCTCACTAACGACTGAAATCCGGAATCCAAGTTCTACCAAGAGAGAATAGATCATAGTCTCTTGGTTCTACTGAAAAAGAGTTGAATCCAGTACCTGGAATCTGGAATTACTTACGTAATTTCTTGTCTTTTCTTAGCTCTGGTGGAGTTGATAACTTACCGTTTTCAGTGTCTGGTTTACTTTCTTTTTCAGCTTCATGATATCGGGCGTTATTATTTCCTTACCTACTTACTCACTTGGTTATATTACGATGCATGTTTTCAAGATTTGACTGAGACGCACATTGAATGGCTTCCTATTGTCAGGTTGTCCTGGTTGCCATTTAGGTGAAGAGAACAAGAAGTTATATTGAACACTCTGGGTTGCCGTCTCAGTTGTAAAAATAAAAGCATTAAGCGAAAATCTTGCTTCGAGGAACAGACTCCTTTCTGTGGATTTTTACTCGTTTCCATATTAAATTCATGCCTTGAATACCGCTTGAATGAAGTTTCATGCGCCTATTTACATTTTCTTTCAGTTTTGCCTAAAAAATTTGTTAAATATAAGAGTTCTCGTTTCTTCTACCGACAGACTCGTAGCTTTTTCAGCCCGCGTTCGCTTTTTTAAAAAAAAGGCTTTAACTTGTTGTAACGTTTATAATCTGTAGTCTATGAAGTGTATCGCATATTGTTCAGTAAATGAACCCCTAAGCATTTGTGAGAAATTCATCGACAAGAGGAAAGCAATGGTAACTTATGGTAACTTTTTAATCAGATACTGTTATGCCTAAGTATATTCAAAGCTGAATTTACACATAACTGAGCCCGATGGTAAGAAAAACAAAATAAACTTGCGGTGAACACAAAAGTCGGCCAGCTTTTTCTTTTAGGTCTTTTCTTGAGACATTATTTTGTTGACTCCGACATCCGTAACCTGTAAATTGGCTACCGAAGGGTATCGTGCATAAAAAAGATTTTTTCCCTTTATATTGTGTTCATATCAGTCGTTTTCACTCAGCTGTTACCTCGAACCCCAAATCATTTTCCCCTACCGCGACATTGGACCCGCGACCGCGACATTGGACCCGCGACCGCGACTTTGGACCCGCGACCGCGACTTTGGACCCGCGACCCGCGACCCGCGACTATTAGTCAAACTCTATCAACGGATAGCTTTTCATGTCGACTGGACAAGAAAAACTTTTCGGTAGGATGAAGACATTGCCTAAGGGACCGTTAGCAGTCTAAACGTGTTTGGTTGCCACACGAACAACTTAAGTAACATAAGCTATCAGCATTCAGTACTCTGGCTCGAAAATACCTAATAAAAATTCTACATTACTAAGATCTTAAATGTGCTCAGTAACTGTGGAAATAAATTTCATTCTTAGAATTTGTAAATATTGTTTTTAAGGTTCTGTTCAACGGCTACGGAAAGAAAGCTACCATCTCTTGACATTTCACCCTTTGCTCCACTTCACTTCAATATTGCCATTACTGTCATTACTAAGTACCAAAAATTACATATCATTACTGTCCACCAATAGCGAAAGCTAATCGAGGTGGTCATTGGCTATACAGTCTGACACCACTCTCGCACAGTAGAGCCGATAAAGAGAATTTAATTAACGCTTTCCGTTTCTCAGAACGTGAAGCTAAAAGTGTTCTCTTTAGCAGAACACTTCAACGCGTGTAATAGAATGCCGGTATAATTATTCGCATCATTTCCTATCAGTAATTTCATGTCACTTATCCGGCCGTTGCATTTTCTTTATTTGCAAATTGAAGGTTGTATTTTTTCATCTAGTAAACTCAGTGCTACTTTCGCTGGCTGAAATATTGAAAAATAATATATGTAATATGTATGTCTTAAAATGCATACTTTTTTCTAACATGAATGTGCCCTAATATTTGGTTACGCTTGGTATACTGATCATGAATTGCCACATTTCTGTCATTAATTCATGGTCTAATCTTCAATAACTATAACTTGTTTTTTTTTTCTTGAGTATGACTGTTTTCTCACAGATTTAACGCAAATTGCGGAAATTCGGTTGCTGGATTGCGTAAATGTGAAGTGGTTTAAGCGAATCTGGTTGGGTTTAAGCGAGTTGACATCCTTTTCCCTTTTATAAGTGTATGCTTATATTATTTTACCCTGCAAGACGCGTATTCACTGTATATGTAACTTGTTTCTCAGCGTGCTAAGACCAGTCGCAATTCCAACAAGTGATTATCGCCGGAAAAAAGCGCAGAAAATAGAATCCAACCAAAACAAAAGGTAAGCTTCAGTCATGCAAAGTGTGGAAATCAGTATTTTCCGTTATTTGTCATCAACGTCTCTCTTCTTACAGTGAAAAGTTCTGTAAGCTAGCGACCACCCAAAAACCCAAATGCCAAGTTTTACTGGTCACTTAAGAGGTAAACAGACTACCGTATTTACTCGATTTTAACACCTCTTAGTTCGGCGCTTATTTGAAAGGTGGACGAGACAAAGAATTGTATTAAGTACAGTAGAATTAACGTCTTTTGATTTTGATTTAGCCTGAGTATCAGGCCTCCCTAAGGGGCTAAGGGAGAGGAGATTTTAGATAGGGGAGGGGGAGGGGTTAGGAAAGAAAGGAAGCTTTTGTGCACTAATTCGTAGACGGACTATGCAAATGGTTTAGACGAGTGCGTAACGTGGGCCGGCTGCTACTTGCAAGCGACTTTTTCTGTTAAATGAAATTTTCATGGTTTTTCGTTTTTGTCGCTGGTTAAGAGAGTTCTTTCATTTTTTAGGGGTAAACGAGAAATGACACTAAATACGGAATACGTAAAATCTATGCAAGGGATACTCAAAATCCTGGAATTTGTAAGTACTTCAGATTTAGAGTTATACAACGTTTCTAGAGGTCTAAATGTAATAAACGACCCTAAATGTAAAAAACTCTTAAGAGTAATAACTTCAGAGGCCTTCTGAATGTATTGACGTCATGCTACCGTCATCAATGACGTAAGTAACACGGCATTAAAGGGGTTCTCTTCATCTTGTTAATGTTGCCAATTACTTATTTATTCGAATAAGCGTCGCCCTCTAATAAGCGCCGCATTTGCCAGAAAAAGTTAATGAGCCCTCCCGAAGTAAAATGTTATTACATTTAGGACTTGGGGTCGTTTATTACGCTTAGGCCTTCTAAAACGTTCGATTGACCTCATCAGTGTCTGGAAAAATTAGGGAGCGTATGGAATTATAGTTAAACGCCATTCGGAACAATAGGCCATTTGCACTAGGAGGCATGTGACATCGTTTTTATGAAAATGAAAGTTACATGATTTTGCCTTGGAAAAACGATTAATGGGTCATATCTTAAACAAAATAATGGTGATTTGGTTTTTCAAACCCGAACCATTTTCTTGAAATGAATAAGTTCGTAAATGGTCACGTGACCAAAATGTGATTTTTAAATTATGAATTACCTCTCTCTGAACACAAATTTTGCACTTAAACTTCAAGGAAAATGTTGAAAAGATGATGTGATAACGTTTACAGCACATCTGAGCGTAAATATGAAACGTTGAACAAGATATAAGCAAGAAGTAGTTTTGGCCGCCATGTTGGTGGGCAAAAGCATGCCTTCCAACATGGCGGCCAATACAAATCATACTACTTTGCTCAAAAATCAAAGTGCCATAAAATATCTCCCTTAAATGCGTTTCCTCTCAAATTTCGGGTGTAAGATAATTTTTGTGTGCTCTAACAATTTTTGGCATCAGCAAGATTTCAACTCATTGTTTAAAGGAAGCATTGGTCACGTGACCTCTTAGTGCAAGTGGCCTATTATCGAATGAAGCTGATTACATGCAGAATCAACTGAAGATTTGACTTGGTATCTTATTTTATACTTTATTTCGACTCTGTAGTTTCCGGCGCACTATACTGCAAAATGCACCAGTTGTTTTCATGATACATTCACTCAATTTACAACCCCTTAAGAAACTGATATTCGATGGGTGGTAAGTGCTCTTTCCGGCAACCTTTCTTTCTTTCTTTCTTTCTTTTTTACAGGTAACTATGTGCATGGCGTTTTCATGTCTGGCGGATTTTAACCGCGAACTGGCTTTCTTAAGCGACAAATTTCTAGTGAGGTACGACTTCTTCATGGCGGTTTTCGTCATTGGCTGGGTAGTGGTCCTATTGGTGTTCTTGGTCTTCCTGTTCAGCTTGACGGAGAAAGACTTGACTCTTGCGGTGAGTTAGCCTTTTTGCTCCTCACGTAATCCTCCCCAACGAACGTTCTTGGGGTAGGAACGCGTGACGAGCCCCAGGGAACGTCTGCGTGAGCTAGCTGTGAGTATGATACACGAGGGTTGGTGTTAGAGAAACCCGCAGCCGCAATTTTGATTCTGCCTTGAATTTTGGTCGCAAAGTCAAATATAATAAATCTCTATAAAACCATTCTCAGCTTGCTTGTTGGCAATTATTGGATGACGCTGATCTAAGATCAAGGAGGATTTTCATTTGCCTGTCTCGTGTCAAGCTCAGGATGTAAGGGGATCTTTACTCTGACTAGCAGATATTGACCAACTAATAAATAATAATAATAATAAATAATAATTATTATTAATGCATTTTTTTTAGGCAGTAGTCCGGCTACCTCCTCTTCGCGAAACTTGTGAAATGTTGTGCAACTTTCTACTGCTCTACCAAAACAACGCAGTCTTCTCGGTTACCGTCCCTTTTTCTGTCGATCGCCGTACTATTGACGTCAAATTCCAGATATCGCAATCGTCTTTCAAATTTGGTCATTGCTACCTGGCAGGAGCCCATGGGCCTTTCCGGGCCTTGATCAAAAATTTCACTGAAATTTACCCCGATAACTCCCCGCTAACTCGAACTGTTCTTCATTTCCTTTCAGAGTTCGAGTTACCGGGGTTCTACTGTATAGAACTTTAACTGTAGAAAGGATTGAAAGGTCTGTTATGTATAATATTTAATGGAGGACATTACATGCCCCCGCATGGATACGAATTTTATCTTCGAGTTGAGCAAAAGAAGATAAAATTCGTATCCAGAAGCGAGCATGCAATATTCTGTTTATCATATAGACACCGACGGCGAGAGCTGTAATGCTCTTTTCCTGTTAGCTAGGACTGTAGTTGTCATGACAACCGTGATATCTTCACATGTGAAGGACAAAAATTGTATCTTCACTGGATACCACGTGCACATTTTCGTCACTGGAAAAATCCTGGTATTTCATCGGTGTCTATATATAATAAACAGACTTCTCTCGTGCCAAAATGTTCTCTGAGCTAAATGTGACAAAATCGTATTTTTACGTGCCAAACTTTGATCGGCATATGTACTCGCACAGACCAAGTTTACAACTTCCAAAGACAAAGTAGAGCCACTCGGGTTAATTTTTTGAAACTGATGCAAGCTTACAGTCGTTTCAGTAAATAAATATTGTTTAAAGTTTCAAAGTGTAGGAAATTTTTCTTTAGTTTAATTTACCCATTTTTAAGTGGCGTTAAACGTAGTGTTTTTCATTGGCGGGTAAACTATCGAGAAATTTATGTATACTAAGCCTCTAAAACTCTCCGAACAACTACCGGATGTGTTTGTAGTTTTGGTGGGCTTAGAAAACTTTTTCTTGTGCACAGTTTGCTAGAACATTTTGAGGGAATATTTAAATAAAGTTACACTTGACCGGCTCATTTGCTTTGCGAAAATCTGTAAATTTATTTTCACCTGTATTGATCACAACTCTCCCAATCTGATCAAAACATAAAATCACGACATACTTGAATGATCTTTCTTTAACTTATTATTTTTTTTAAGCTGCTCATTATCTCCGTCCTGTTTGCTCTGTTGGTTTTACTCGCTTCTGCTCTCATGGCTGACTTCTTAAAAGATGTGTACGACGAACAATGGCACAAGAATCCTTTTTTGAGAAAATTCTCTGAAATTCTTACGGTGTCAGTGGTAAGTATTCCAAAATTAGCCTGTTCCAGTCTTTCCCCTCCGTAAAATTTAAATCGCTCCCCACCATCAACAGGCTTGAGTAGCAGGCGCTTAGAAGTAATGGGCGCAAGAAAGAAGGGGGCGTGCGAGGGAGACACGCGTGTTTATCTCCCCTCGGGTGGGGCCTCCCTGTGTAGGCTATTACAGGAAGCACCCCCGGCCCTGAAGATAGGAAAAATCTAAACTACCTTCTTTGTATCGGACAACAACTCTGCTTTTTATCCCTGTTTAGGTCAATGACTACCGACACTACCGTCCCTGCTGTTCCTCTAAAAAAAATTAAAACCACTGTAGTCAGGACCACTTCACACAAAATCAGATGGAAGGGCCAAATATATTTACATGTACCTTGTCTAGCGGCACGTCCCAATTTAACGAAACGAAATACTTACTTCTCTTCCCGTCGCCAGTGCAGTCACCCGTACAAACTGCATTCAGTTAGACTGACTGAATAAGTCAAGGATAGGGAATCAGTAGTTTAACTTGGACACTGAGGGTGTTTACCATTTGACAGAAAAATCCGGTTGGGGTATCAAAAGCATAATGGTAAGCGATTTAACAGTTTACCGCAGAATTGCCACATCCGTTACAGTTTGAATCCAAAAATGGGGCGAATTTGTGTAGCGTGAGTCTGGAACCGAGAAAGAACCGAAAAATTCGTAAATGGTAACTGCAACATTCTGTTTGGTTCGTACCAGAACCGGAATGAGCGGACTACCTCAAAACGAACTTCTCAATTTTCGATT